ATATATATATATATATATATCTTTCTCCCTCCTTAGTATCTAATCTATTATATAAATCACTAAAAACTAATGTCTTTGCATCACATATTGCTTTCTTAGAATCCTTACAAGTCACTTTATATATTTCCCAATTATCCGAATTTTTAAAATTAAACCAATTTTTATAACAAATCTTCTTATTTTTAATCTTTTCTTGCACATTTGTATTCCACCACCAACTATTTTTACTATTAGGAGCAAATCTAACTGATGAATAAAGGATCAAAATTAAGCTTCACCTAACTACTCAAAAATCAAAGTTTTGGTATTAACTTATTAATTGAAATGTTCATGGATGGAAAATTTTGACATGCTATCCTTTCAACCTTTAATGCAAGTTACAAGGGTACCAGACAAGTGTAAGCCTTCTAATCTTTTTTTCCAATGTTTTTTTAGTCTTTTGAGAATATAAAAATTAGTGATATAATAATACAGAATTAAGAGAATTAGGAGTGTCATAAAAGCTTGATTTTCGCTGACAACTTAAATTCATCTCAATAATTGTTTGTGTTATTTGACCTCTACTTTGAGAATTAAGCCCTTTAAGGTCTTAAAGTCTAAATCCTGACTTTAGGCACCCAAGTCATAAAGCTCCAGTCTTAACCCCGCCACCCTAACCCTTAGACTACCCTAGCTAGGACCTCAATCACCTCACTCAGCTTAGTAGGTGGACCTAGCCCCTTAGTGGATTGGGGGAATAAGACCGCCTTGATCTAAAGTTGAACCTTAGAATAGTTGGCCCATAGCCCAATATAACCTTCACTCGACCTATTTTAGGCACAAAACCTAACCTTGTAGCCAACTTAGAAAATCATGACCCTAATTAAGACCTCCAAGAGGACCAATTAAACTCTCCCTACACAAACTCATCTTAGCTTAGACCCTTCTTGGATTGACTACACTAACATTTCAAGTACTTCTTGAGCAAATATGGAAAGATTCTCCCCTCTTGACACCACCTTTTAGTGCCCACTAGCTATGGTCTTAGCACCAAGCACCGTCTATCTCGGTGCAATCCTATTCATCTTTCAATCACCCTCCCCTCTTCGCAACACCTTTTGACAATAGCCTCCTGACAACTCCCAAGTTAGTGCTCACTACCTTCCATCAACTTCTCTGTGTCTTGGCCCAAGAAATCTCCCTTCTTAAAAACTATTCGGCATTTTCTCCAAAGAAATCTCTCCTCAAAGTCTCGCCTCCCAAACTTCACGTTGCTAGCGCATCTGTAGGCTCCACAATCCAACTACTCCTAATCAATGAATTTGGATCTCCAAGATAAAAGAACGCTCGTGCAATTGCGTAAAGAAATTTGCCAATTGTTAGTACCTGAATTATCAAGTTGGAACCTAATGGCTCTCAATCTAACCAGCCTCTCTTAAGCACTATTTAGGAACCACCTTTTGGCTTGCAATTCAACAGTAGAAATGGCTATCGAAAACTCTTTTACATGGGCAATTACAGTGTTGATTCAATGGTTAAATTAACATTAAATAAAATCTTCATGTGCTAGGAACTTAGTGATCAATTTAGGTGACTTAAATATAGTGGATGCTAACTAGCTTAATTGGTAAGAATATTAGAAGTTGTTATCAATATACTGGATTAGAATCCTGCTTACATCAAATTTCTGCCTTGGAACTCACCATTCCAAAAAAATGCCTACAATCACTAAGGATTGCTTTCATTTTAAAAGCATCCATTAGGTCAAGTTTGTCAACTCAAACCAAAGCTCTATCTAATGTGGTCTTTCCCAGACGTTCGAAGTCTTAAATAATTCTAAATTTATATATTAAACCATTAAAATTACATTTGATTTGTGAAAGTTATGAAAATATGTTAGAAAAAAAATGGGAAATTCGGAGATCCACCCTAAGTATTTGCATGCACCTTTCTGAGTTATCGTGAGTCATTTGACCTAAATCTTAAAACTCTAGTATCCAAATCTCCCACCCTCAATTCCATTCAAATTTAAAGCTTGAACGTGCACATACCTCTATATTTAGGTCATCAGATGACAAAGACCCAGGGAAAACTACATTAGGACATGCACATACCTAGCTAGAGTATTGATGCCTCTATCTTCCATTAGAGTTAAACTCATCATAGTTATCCAAATCTCCCGCCCTCAATTCCACTCAAATTTAAAGCTTCATCAAGCATACTGTTACTGCAGGAATCATTTCATGAACGTGCACAATATTGCTTAAATCCTTAATATATTTCTTTAGAGGGTAAGTCTAACCTACCTTTATCCAAATTTAAAATGAAGCACCAGCTGCCCCTTACCTTTTTTCCTCATATTTCTTCAAGAGTCGTTTCACCATTTATACGGAATACATTAAAAACAAACTCATGGAAGTTTTTTGTCTGACCCTGAAAGTGTCACCCTATCCAACTGGTACGGGAAATATGTCCTTTCTTTTATTTTCTAGTCATGATATGCCAATACACTAAAAATTTATTCTGAACTTGTTAAGATTTTTGTACCTGCATGAAACCACACAAGCGAATTATGATGTGGTTTAGACCAGAGTCCTGAAGAAACTTCTCAGTGAAGTACTTGATTTCCATTAATGGAACTTCAGGATGTTTATCACAGTTGTGGATGGAATAGAACACATATTTCTGAATTCCCATTGCTTTTGCGCATTGTATGAGAGCAACCTTTCCTTCCCAATCTACCTAAATAGAATAAGCCGATTAATACATACCAAGACCAAGAAACAGAAAATAAGATTATGATATCAAACGGAAATATTGCAGCACAGCAGCATAAAACAAAAGTTTAGTCCTGCAGACTATGAGCATCCAAGGATGCATTACTCATACAAAATGCGTCAATGATAAGCAATATACAATACCAACTACAACCAACTGGTTGTGAAATTAGCATAACTAAGAGAGTGATTTAAAAATCAAACTAAAGTTCATTTCAAGTTAATAGTTTGTCTGTTTTTTGGTTCATTAAAAAAATGTCTACAGGGATAAAAAGAGAACAAAGGGTTTATGTTTTCTGTTTTGGTTCAATTTGATACCCTTTGTAGGCATGAGTTGGTTTAATCGTTGGTTACTTTTCAGCTATTAATTCTTAGTTTTTGTTGTTTTGCTGTTATTGGTTCTGAAGAACTGCTTTTTGGCCTAGCTTCTCTATGGAATTGCTATTGGGCCTTTAAATGAGTTTCTGGTTGATGAATTCATATGGTTGTTATTTGTGCTATTGCAGTAATACGGGGCTTGCACATTCTTACAGCAGGTTGATTGTGATTTTGTTATGTCATGGAATCCCATAACTTCTGTTTGTGTGTTTTGAGAACATTTCTGTGAGCAATTTTTTAAGCTTTATAGCATGTTGCTCCATGTGTATCATCTCCGATGGAATTTACAAGAGGATCATGACCGCCAACTCCATTCTATATTTGTTTTTTGTTATATGGAGAAAGGATGTTATGATTATAAAAATGATATTATTAAAAAATATAAAGAATAATTAATTGCTTAGTAAAATTTGTGCTCTACTCAAATATGTGTTGGTTGAATGTGAATTCTTCAAGTATAGTGTAAGTGATGACTACCAAATTCTGGGAGAAGTCTTCCCCGCGTACTAAAGTAAGATGTCGATTAACACCTCGGTAATTTCCTTCTTTGATCTTTCTTTCTCGTACTTTAGTATTTGGTTTGCACATCTACTTGGATACGGTCGAATTGCATACAATCTGAAATTCTTATTCCAGTGTTATTTTCAGTTGTGTGAATTTTATTGATCTTAAATTTCTTTGCTACCTTTCTTCTAAAACGATAATTAAATTCTTCTTTGTGAGGAATTCTTTGTATTTTTTTAGGAAACCCAATAAGACCCTTAGACGTCATACAGCATATTTTATATTAGATCTTATAATTGAATCATCATCACTAAAAATAGTATGTAATAACTGGGTCAATTTATAGAATAACAACGAAATCAAATAGCAATGGTTATAAACAGCTAATAATGTGACTATCATGAAGTTCCAAATTATATTCTTACTTTCGATGAGAGGTATAATCTTAGAGAACTTTTTAATTGAAATGATATGTTAATCTTAGAGAGGAAGATTTCTTTGCCTGAATCCCAAAGAGTTGAATGAGCTAAATCAACACGTAGGATATGTTAAATCAACATGAGTTGATACAAACATAAGCCTAAAGAACAATGTTTATCATCCCATGAACATAGGGAACAACAACAATGTCAATTTAACGCATCTTTTTCTAAGATTAATATCAGATGCTGAGATTTCCAATAGAAAACCCTAGGTTGACTTGCATAACAAAGAAGAGATTACCCAGCAGAAAATGTATGGAAATAGAAATGATAATAATTTAGAGGAAAAGTTCTAGAAAATTAAATTGATCTCAACCAGAAATTTTCCAAAATCAGTAAACGCACATTTCTTCTATTTAACTTGAAAAACGTGTTCCTCTAAATCAATAACAGAACAACACCAAGGCAAGCATATAGACAATACTGATTTACAAACCAATCCTTATAGAGAAAATGATTCAGATCTGTGGCAAATAATCTTGTGCATGTACAGGATATTTAAAGGGTATATAATCAAAAAATAATAACAAGAAAGCAACCTACAAGACTGTCTGTATAATATTAAAAATTAACAAATCGTTATACAGTTAATTTGTACTAATCAGTATGAATTCAACCACTACTGTTCACTCTGTAGATCTACATCATGAATGTAAGATAGAGCATACAAAGATAACAAGCAAAATTAAATCAGCTGCAAAAGATGCTAGAATCACATCAAAATTAAAGATCAACACTATGTTCTCAACAGAACTTTTACTAGCTCTACTAAAGAAGATGGGAACTCTGCAGTAATAATTACAGTTAAATTGTATAACCTTTCGAATGGGTTCCTCTGGCCGCCCTGTTGCACAATCAATTATTGTATGAACACCAACTAGAGTTGCCGGTATCGTTTCTGGCTTGCTCAAATCTCCCTGTTGATATGAAAATTAGAATACAGATATTCCAGAGAGAATCCAAGAAAGAAACAAGATGATACATCAATGAATGAACCACAATTGCTAAAAAATTGTATAGTAATAAAACTGTTTTGCATCAGCCAGATCAATGATTTGAAAAGAACTCTCTTTTAAGCAAGGCTGTTTACATACCAAGATTGTATAATCATGAAAAGTAAGTAAACACTCAAGGATAAAAATAGGACTCAAATCTGTGTCCACAATGTCTTTATTAGTATTGGAATTATGATATAATATGCAACTAAACAAAAAAAACAAGAGAATGGCATAAAAGCATTGTTCAAAATGAACGTCTTCAAAATATTAACAACATTGAACAATACTAAGTATTGAGAGATTTTTAATAATTATTTTATGACTTTCAGGCTTCATTTGGGATGGTTTTCTTACTGCTTCTTAAAGCAAATTTCTAGTATAAAAATTAAAATTTTTGTACTAAAAAGCTGCTTCAAGAAGCAGTAAAAAAGCCATCCCAAATGAAACCTTAGTCTACATGGACCTCTACATGCAGGGGCGAAACCGGCTTTAATTTTGAAGGGGGGCAAAAATACAGCACAAAAATAATTAAATATTAAAAAAATAATATTATATATCTATACATTACGAAAAGTTTTTTTAAAAAATTAAGCAATAAAAATAAAGAAAAAATGTGTAATTAAACTGTTATTAAAAGCATGAAAGAGAATATTATAACTAAATGTAAAGAAATATATAGATATTTTAGGACAAGTTAGGACAAAAGAGGACAAAAGAATTTTTTAGGGGGGGGGGGCAAAAAAAAATTTGAGGGGCAAAAAATTTTTTTACTCTCTTATAATTTTTTTTTTTTTTACTCCTATAAAAAAAAAATTTTTTTTTTGAAGGGGGGCAATTGCCCCCCCTAAGCACACTATAGTTCCGCCCCTGTCTACATGTGCTAGTATCTTGGCATGCTCAAATAATTATAAAGCCAAGGAACATATGGAGAGTAAGAAAATAAGGGATCATATACATGAATATATACATGTGCATATATGTGTTAAGATACATATGCTTGTGCATACATCATATATCGAGTTTAATATAGCTAATTTTGAGTGAGCTATCTTCAAGTCGAAGCAAACTAATTTAGATTTCAAGTTGATTTAAATAGAGTGATTAACAAGTTAGTTTTGGACACAATTATCAGTCCTAGATAAAAACGCATCAACCATATGCATATGGGAATAATGTCAATCTTGAAATTAAAAAAAAAATTCAAACATGTTGGTTTGTGCACACGAGCATACATATAAATGTAGATATCCACAAGTATATTGCATAAGTTGGTTTAATTGAAGAACCAAAAATTAGGCAGTATTTGTGAAAAAAGAGACACCTACCTAGTTTTCATCAACGACATGTAGTATGTTCCTTGATCAACTATATTGCATAAAGGAATAAAAATTTCTCTCTAAAAACTATCTACAGGAACCGGAAAGTAAGTTCTGACCTGAAGCAAAAAACAGTTGAAATTTTGAAACCTACATTGACAACAATAGCTCCCCAATCCCGCAAGAAGTCAGCCGGAGCTGGCCGAGGCCTTACAAGACACCTAACATCATATCCTTCATCTAATGCCTTCCTGACTATCTGCCGGCCCAATGTTCCAGTAGCTCCGACGACCAACACATTTGTTGGCCGAACAGGAGTCCCCTGCGATATATCAGAAGAAACCAGAGTCTGGGCATTGCATTTAACTTGCAATGGCAAGCGAAATCTCCCTGAAAAAAAAGATCAAACCACTGGTGTTTAAGAAACTCCAGACTTCAAATTCGTTGATGAAATTCATCAAACAGTTGAACTGAGATGAACAGGGACAAAGGGAAGAGAGAGGAACAAACAAGGGTTGGAAAAGGCTGCAGGTTTTACTTGCCAGGAGGAAGAGGCGACGAGGAAATGAGGGTTTGGTAGGGAAATGTTAGATCCTGGGCAGAAATTAACATGCGCCACGAAGGAAGTGTGGAGAACTGGGAGTAGCAGCGATGGAGAGGACGGGTAACGGTGGGCTGAGGTGGAAGATAGCTGAGACTGGACGCCATGGGCTTCAGGGAAGAGAAGCTTGGTTCTCTTCACCGTTGGTATTCTTAGCTCGACGGCATCTCTGGTGATGTGGAGGATGAGGGAAACCAAAGCAAACCAAGAGCAGTCGATCACAGTTCTGCCACGTCGAAATGGAATAATGGATGCGATCAGTAACTTGCAAGTTTGTTTGGAAGTAACAATTATTATGTCATGTGACCTCACGTAGCTTTACATTCGGACATCAATAATATGTCGTCACGTGTTCTTATTCATTTACAGCGCGGCCCGACGACCTGACCCGGGATTACTATGTTCGCGTATTGCTCTAGGTATTGCTCGGTATTCCTCGGTATTGTTTGACAATAACGAGAAATATCGCTCTGTCAAGATCAATACCGAGAAAAATTATGTATTTCTTGGTATTGCTAGATATTGGTCTTCACATAATGGTATTTCTCATTATTGTCAAGTAAAATCGACCAATACTTAGCAATACCGAGTAATACCAAGCAATACACAAACATAGCAATCCCGGCTCCATTCCGGGTCGACAACTGTCGGGCCACGCGATAAATAGTGAGAACATGTGGCACTAATTTACGAGCGTCCTAACCTTGAGCTACGTTAGGTGACCGGACCAAATAAAAGTTCATTTGGAAGAGACCATCCAAAATCCAAATAAAACTCAGCTGCAGCTGCAGGACATTATGTCCATTGAAAAGGAGTTGGGCTTTGGGACAATTCCGATCAGAATTATTATGCATTATTATTCTTTGAGGATTATTATTATTATTCATATTTAATGATATTTTACATTAATTTTTATAATTATTAATCAATCATTACATTATTTTAAATTTTTATTAATGTAGAAATGATTCATTTAGAATGTCGCGGTCAAATTTTTTGTCAAAATGATCTTAAAATCGTTAAAATTATTTTAACAGTACAATATAATTTTTGAATTATTTTTACGTATAATGTTCATCTTAATGATTCATTCTAATTTGACCTATATTTTGTTCTATTAATGTATTATTATAATTAGTTGACATTAATATCAGATAATATTTCGTTTATAATTTTAAAAAGGATAAATTTAAACTGAAATCTTTCAGATTTACTCATTTTATTTTAGATCAAAAGCTAAACCAAAATTTAATGGATGGGATTAGGTTTGTTTTATTATGCACAGTTCACTCAAAATTAATCATACAATAGAAAATTTTAAAATATATTTATTCACTTACTATAAATAGTTACAATGGATATCAAATTTGGTCAAATAAACATCATTGATTTTATCATATTGAGTTATTGACTTTATGATACACAACAAGTTGCAAAAGTTAGAGAGAAACAGATAATTTTATTTATTCTTTCTTTTTTTTCATATAAGTAATGAAAGATAATAAGAAAATGACAGTTTTCTTATTGCTTTCTAAAGAAGCTTTTTAGTATAAAATTTTTTTAACTAAGGCTTTGTTTGGGACGGTTTTTTTTTCTGCTTCTTAAAGCAGCTTCCTAGTACAAAATGTTTTAATTTTGTACTAAGAAGTTGCTTTAAGAAGCAGAAAAAAAGTCGTCCCAAACGAAACCTAAGGCTCCGTTTGGGACGAGTTTCTCTCTACTTTTTAAAACAACTTTCTAGTACAAAAATTTTTAATTTTGTACTAAAAAGATGCTTTAAGAAGCATAAAGAAAGTCATCGGCTTCATTTGGGGCGGCTTTTTTGTTACTTCTTAAATCAATTTTTTCGAACCAAAATTAAATTTTTTAAACTATAAAGTTGATTTAAGAAGCAACAGTATAGTTGTCCCAAACAAAACCTAAATTTTTGTATAAAAAACTACTTTTAAAAATAATAAGAAAACTATCACGAAGCCTTATTCTCTTATTAGTTGCATCATCATCATCATCATAAATGAAAAGTACAGCAAGAAAAACATGTAGCTATCAATTGAACCAATCAACACAAACTCCACTATTTTGTGAAGTCCAATCATGCATGAATACTACTAAACATTACAAAATTCAACGAAGAAAACAAGATTAAACAAATGCAGGAAACTATCTAATCTAAACCTCTCTACAACTCTCCAAATCATTCTCCCAGAAAACTCATCCTGTACATTTTCCCAGCTAAACCTCTTATGTACAGGTTAAAATAAATGCGCAGAAAAATCTCTGTTAGTGCAGTTCTAATCAACCAAAATGAATGTAAATCTGAATAAAATAAAAGGTAAAATTCAATTCAAAAGAAAGTTACTAATCTGAAAATATTTCTTCCCATTCCTGTTCCTCTGGGCCTCTCACTGTAAGATCATCAACACCTGCTTCAGTTTCATTGATTGTGCCGTCTTCTGGTAGAATGGCTTCTTCCCCTTCCTCATCAAGATCAGGAGTTTCAGAATCCTCATCAGCTTCTCGTTCATCTTCCACTTCATTGTCAGCAGGATTGTCAAAAATGGGTGAAGCCCTCAACTTTGCCTCTGTATTTTCGCAGATACAACTCGACGGATTTTCATGAAATTCGCCTCTTCCAGGCCTTACCTCATTAGGCTCCCCCATGAATCCTTTCTGACATTTTCGGACCTTTGCAGCAAATGCATCCCAAGTCATGTTGAAACGATTCAAGAACAAAGAATACAATTTCTTGGCATTAGGCCGTATAGTCCTCTTGTGATCAAAGTATCTCCTATCAATAGAGATATAGAATTAAAAGATACATGATACTGAATTATTATGTGTCTATTATTTCAATCTTTATATTCATTTATATAATATTTTCAGCAGAATTCAAGTTGGATGGTTGAAGTGGAGGAATGCATCGGGCTTGTTGTGTGATAGAAAAGTACCCCTCAAACTTTAAGGGAAAACTCTATAAGATGGTGGTGAGGCCTACAATGCTTTGTGGTGCCGAATGTTGGCCATTAAAAGAGAAGCGTAATGCTAAGTTAAGTGTGGAAAAGATGAGGATGTTCAGGTGGATGAGTGGCTTTAACCTTGGAGATGGTATACGAAATGAGTATATACGTGAGAAGGTTGGAGTAGCTCCAGTAGAAGATAAGATTAGAGAGAGTCGCCTTAGATGGTTTGGTCACATAAAACATCTGCCTTCCGATGACCCGGTTAAGAAAGTAGATGTATTAGATTTGACTTATGTTAAGAAAGGTAGAGGTAGACCTAAAAAGACTTGGTTAAAAAATATTAGAAATAATCTTTCTTCGTTAGATTTAAACAAGAATTTGTCTTTTAATAGGACACAATGGAGAAAAAGGATTCATGTAGCCGACCCCACGTGGTGGGATCAAGGCTTGATGTTGTTGTTGTATATCAAATATATTATTAATATTAACTTATCAAAAGTAAAATGCATGAGAAAATAATATTACCTCCTACCAGCAAGAATCTTGGCCATGTTGCCATTGTTGTTCGTTACAAAAACATCGCTATGATCACATACAATGAAATCAAGAGCAGCCATACGAGATGAAAATGGGAAGAATGGAGCCAGTTCCTTTTTGGCCAAAGTTTCTTTTGAATGGAAATTGGGGAAAAGGGCTTTCAAGGGTGCTAATGTATTTTCACCGCCATATACTTCGCCGGAAGCCACATAGAGGTGGACGTCCTTGCTAAAGCCCAAAGCTCTAAGCATGAGGCCTACCTCTTCAGGTGTAAGAGGGCACTTCCCATGCCTACGCTCCTTGTCAGGGTTGTTTTTCTGCAAAACATATCAAGGGATTTACTATTGTGTTTGGGATTCAATCAGAGAAGTAGCTGATATGCTTACATGTAAAGTTTTCCACCGTTTGCGGATTAATCCTAATTCTCTCCTTTCTTCATCTCCTCCACCATAATAGCAGCCAGAGAACGCAAGCATGTCGGGTTCAAATCTGCAAGAAGAACATCTTAGGTGGTGTTTGGTTGCAAGTAGTAGGAGAGTGCAGTAACAAAAAAAAAAAGTTTATTTTTTAAATGTTTGCTACAGAGTAGAACTTGTGTAAAGTTTTTTTTAGTGTTCGGAATTCCTCAGAACTTATTTTCGTTGCATTCTAAACAAATTCCAAATTCATTCCTCTCCGCTCATGTCCGTGATGTCATTGTTGTCTCAGGGAATAGGAATATGGATTCAGATGCTTATAATCCTCTGAAAGAGGATTTGCATCTCAAGGGAAACTATTGGAGATCAACACTCTAGCATGAAAATAAACAAGAGTTCACACATATTTGAAAGAAAGACTCTTCTTAGGGGAGCTCTTCAATTTCATCATCTAGGCACTTGAATTTGCTAGACATCTCATCAGCTCCTGTCCCTTGACGCCATGCCCATACCCCAACACCGACTCCATCATCGACACTATCCTTGTCCTATTGTAATAGTTCAAACTCTTAACTATTGAGATATTGTCCGCTTTGGCCTAAGGGTCTCATAGTTATGTATTGTTCGTGTAATTTTCTAGGATTTCTCCTGAATGAGCATGCTTAACTATGGAGTTTCTTAAATGAAATTCTGACTATTACACCAAAATGCATCTCGATGTTTAAGAGTTTAGCTTCATCACAATCTCCCCCACTTATGTAACTGACGTCATCGTATGTATCTTTATCCTAGAATCATCCACCATGCATATATGATTCCAGAGGTGGCCCCTACAAGTTCAAGTGGATACTCCCGCCACGTAGTGCTTTATCCCATGCAGGATTCAAGAGGTGGCTCCCATGACATAGCACTTTGTTTTGTATGGCACATAATTCTCATCTTTTGGCTAGTGTATTGTTTTGATATCATTTGTAACAACCCAAACTTTTAATTATTGATATATTCTCTGTTTTGGCCAAAAAGCCTCACGCTTTGTCCTTTTGGTGTAACTTCCCAAGAGGTCACCATCCCAGAATTTCTCAAAGATGAGCACACTTAACTGTGAAGTTTCTTGAGTGAAATTTCAACCATTACACCAAAAGGCGCCTCGATGTTTAAGAGTTTAGCTTCTTTTACTGATAGACCTGGAATGATTGAACTACGAACCTTTGACAAGGCTACCCACTCCTTCCCCAAGATTTGCAACAGCCCAACAAGCATTCCTTTATGAATAAGCCTAACTAATCTCTTAAATAGAGAGTTGTCTTCAAAAAGTAGAGAAGGTGATTCATCATGGAGACTTGAGTCACTGGGAAGTCTCAACCCAAATCTAAACAAATCCAAAATCTCATAGGAAACATGCTTCATCCGTATGCCTCTTCCAATGGCTATCAAACCCAAAAAAATGACAAGATTCGACCTCCCTTCCAAAACTTCAGAATTGCGTAAGATGCTTACTCTTAGTTGCCAATCATAGTGTCATTCACTAAGGCTTCAATGGGATGACTTTTTTACTGCTTTTTGAAGCAGCTTTTAGTAAAAAAATTTAATTTTTATACTAAAAAACTGCTTCGAGAAGTAATGAAAAAACAGCCCCAAACAAAGCATAAGTTTATGTAATAGATTATATTTCTGTTTCATGTCTTCTGTTATTTTGTCATTAGTTACTTTAAGTTAAATATTAGTAATTAATGTCGTTCATCATTTGAGAGTAGTTTAGCATTTCTCTTAAAATGTTTACATGTAGCTTTGTCATTTGGAAAAATCCTTACTATAAGTAGTGCATAGAATCTCAGATGATAATGAATGAAATGTTTTGAGTACTATGTGATAGATGCATAAGTTTTACCATCTTCTTAGTGCTTTGAGAATTTAGCATTACGCCTTAAAGTTTAAGTGAGGTCAATGACTTTAAGATTAACATTATACAGGATGAGGATTAACTAATTATCTTTTTTATCCCTCTCCCCCTTTTCTATTTTAATTCTCCACTAGATATATATTCCATTGCCCATATTACGTGAATTCGAAGGTACAAAAAGACTTTTTAATGAATTAATGTAAATAATGAGGACATCGTCAGAGATTTCGACACATGTACCATCAGCAGACGCCGGAGATCGACGGGATCTCCGGCCACGATCATGAGTTTTATTTTGAGTCATTTATGTAGTAGTTTATCTGATTTTTATGTGTTTCCGTTTTTGTCCTTATGGGTATTTAGTCGCTATTGTAGCCCAAGTGGCATTTTAGTCTTTTGCTTTCTTTGCCATTTTGAGGCCTATTTATATAGCCTTTTTCTTATGTAATAGGGAGTTTTTGATGGAATGAAAATTTGCCACTTATGTTCTCTTCATGAGTTCACCCTCCTCGATCTCTTAGTGAGTTCGTAGGAAAAACTAGATCTCTTTGTGAGTTCTAGGTTTTCTTGTCTTTCATTTTTCTTTAGTTCTCTTGATCACTTTGTGTTGTGGAGAGTTGGATTGAAGCCACTAGTGGGAGAGTGGATTTTCATGCTTTGGATCTCGAGAATTTCCCCCACACTCTCTCCTCCCTTGCTCTTGCCACCGCCTCCTACTTGGATTGTCCAGGCCGCCGGCCAGCAGCCCCAACCGCCGGCCAGCCCTTCCCCAGCCCGCCGGCTCCCTTTCCCCCTTCCGGCCGCCACCTCCTCCCCACTCTTTGGAATTTTGAATTTGAAATTTGAATGATTTATGAGCCATTACTTATTTCCTAATTTAGCTCCTTAATTTCAGGCCATCAATTTAATTGAGTTTCAATTTCAAATTTGAAATTCAAATTGCTCCAATTGATTGCCCTCAAATTAGAAAGTTATTTCCCCTTATGAAATCTGAAATTTTATTTCAGATTTTGTAAAAATCTGTGATTAAGTTTGTGGTCCCCATTGCATTAAACCTAAGCCCCCTCTCTCTCCTCACTTTGCCACCTAAGCGACATTAATTCTGATGTAGTGGATCGTCGGAAGATCAAACCTGCAAGAAGGATTTCAAGGAGTTCCCAATCCAGGGAAGAAGAAGAGAGCTTTTTCAAAGCTTCAAAAGGGTTTATATCATTCAATGTCTCAAAAACCATACATTATACCTATTTAAGGGAGCAAATAGAAGACTCTAGACTAAAGGAGATAAACTAGTCCCTAAGCATAAGATAGGCTAAAATGTTCCCACATCATTCTCCCCTAGCATAAAAAGGCTCGACTCTGTCGAGACGCATTATTGAAAAAGAGATTGTTGCAGAAGACAGATTCCCTTTTCTTTTGTGATCCTAAGGCTCCAGCCGAGGTTCTGTTGCCGTTCAGCCATCCAGGGAACCCAAGCTGCTGACCATGCTTTAGGAATTGCTGTCCAGATTTCAGAAACAGCCCAATTTCCTGTCTAGAAGCTTCCCGGAGCAAAATAGCTTGCTGCCTTGATGTCCAAAGCAAGCTAGTATGCTGTTTAGCCGTCCAAAATCTGCCGCAATTGCTGCCCAAAGGAGATCCAGTGCTGAACAGCTGCTGTCCAGCAATTCCAGCCAACGCCAAAGCTTCATATCTCCTATTTCTTTGGTGTACCTTCCATCGAGGAGCACAATCTTCCCGGACATTGGATGCTCACTAGTCATCCCGTGGATTCCCCTTCGCCGGCTACTTCCCCTACGGACTAGACTTTGGGCACCATTTGTCTCTTAGTGGCATTGCTCGGTTTGCTCTCAATCTTCCTCCGTTAAAACCCCACCGTCAAGAGCGTGAGTGAGGGACCCAAGGTGAAAAGTTCTATTTATTAACCGTGGATTATTGTTTTTCCATAACATTACTCTCTCTATTCTTATGTTGTCAATTTGATATTGTCCCGTTAATCTAGTTGTAACCGCATGCCATTAATTTCGATTTGATAATTCTGAAAGCCTAACTTGGGTAAGCATTAATTCTATAACTAGCAAAGTTTTAATAATCTTATATTAAAATCCCCAAGCAGTTCTTGTTTCCATGCATATGTTTCACATCAGTAAAATATGCAGATGTTATCATGCTAACGCATAGTAAGACATGCCAATTATTGAGATGTTGGGAAACTATTAGAAAAGAAACTGCAATACGGAACTGAAAAAAAAAACTGTTTTTAATATACAAGTTGCTAATTCCAGTAAAAAAATAAAAGTTAACAACATGACAGTTTACCTGAGATGGAGAGCAATAAAATGCTTACTCTTTGTCCTCATTCTACTCATTAACGTATGGCCCATATTTTGAATTGGATCAGTAAATTTTAAAGCATGATAATTTACTCTACATCTAAGCTTTTGCAGATCAGTCTCCAACCTGTTTGATAGCCTATAATCAAACTTCGTAAGCTGAACAACCTGCACCACCATAAACGACATGATCTCAACATGCATAGAAGCTGGAGCCTCGGTTTTAGAAAGGAAAACTGAGACAAATAACTAGACAAAGAACAAGAATAAACCAAAGATACTCCTTTAGAATCAGATACAGAGATCATAAAGAAAACAAGTAATTGTAAAACAAAATAATAAGCAACAAGTAATCCTATTGTACGACGGTTAAGAGATTCAAGCAATCAGACGGATCTATTTGATAATTCCATCATATTTTTGGAAAGATCCAATGTGATGTCGGACAATAAAGGGTTTAGAGTTTACTAACATATTAGGAAGAAAAGCAAAATGAGAAGGTGACGTTCATGGGAAAAAAAAATTCTAGTTGTTGGTTGATAACAAGTATATCTCTTTTTGGTGTTTGAGTAAACAAAAAATACATTTTAGAGTGCTTGGATTAAATTTGTCTCTATCATGAATATGAAAATATAGAAAAGAGTACAAGAAAAATTTTAAGGGGAATATTCTCAGATTTGTTGATATCGGAAGGGAATTTGGAGAAAAGTACCATAGGACCTGTATATCCAAAGACTCTATATGAAATCCTATTTATTAAATATATGGTTGTTAAGATGGCATCTTCTCAAAGGCACTTAAGAACATTATCTTGAAACAATAATGCGCGAGAAAAGATGGAGAATATATATTATTTCGTTTAGCCACTCCAATTAATTTGGGTGTATCTAACACTTTCAATAGGAACTCCAAATTGGGTGCTTATCATTTAATCAAGGATGGGAAAGATAGTTAACGCCAGGGCAAAGTATGGGCCTGACTAGTTTATCGGCCCAATCAAAATGAGTCCCGGAATGGATGAGTAGACAATTATGTCTTTTGGACTTACGAACGCACCCAACACTTTCATGTGACCAATGAACCACATTATTCAATCTTTTTTGAAAAATTTTGTTGTTGTTTACTTTAACAACATTTTAGTGTATAATCGCACTGTGGAAGAACATGTCCAACACCTCCTGCAAGTATTTGAAGTCCTTGAAGAGCGAAGGTTATTTGCCAATGGACAAATGTAGATATTTCTTTACCAAAGTAAAATTTCAGCGTTTTGTTGTCTCTCCAAAAGGCATTGAAATAGACCAAGACAAAGTAGCAACTATCCGAGGAGCGGAGATTTCATGGATTGGCATCATTCTACTTCCACTTTGCTAAAAACTTCAGTTCCATTGTTGCATCATTGACAAAACTTCTCAAGAGGCCTCAGTTGACATGGACCATACTTGCTCGGTCTAGTTTCAACCAACCAAAGCTCCAGGTGGCTCTAGCCCTTGTCTTGGCCCTCCGAGATTTTACCCAAGTCTTGGAAGTTGATTGTGAGGTTTCTAATGTGGGCATTGGGTCAATGCTAAGCCAAGGGCGTAACCAAGTGGCATATTTCGGTGAGAAACTAAATGAGTTATGTCAAAAGCATTCCACCAATGACAAAGAATTATATACTCTCATCCGAGCTTTATAACACAATAGTCATAATTTGCTGGCACAAGAATTCATCCTATTCTCAGATCATGAAGTCTTTAAACATCTTCATGATCAAAGCAAGCCAATGGGGAAGCATGCGAAGTGGATGGAAATTTGTCTTCCTTCTATTATACCTTCTAGCACAAATCCAACAGATCCAACTAGGTGTGGATGTCTTAAACCGCTACTGCAGCTTACTCAATCCCTTTCAAATGAAGACTTTGGGGTTTGAAGCAATTCAAGATTTGTATGCCCGGGAACAGTATTTCCATAAGATATTGGAATGGTGTAAACTGCAAACATATAAACTCTTTAACATTCAGCATGGTTACCTCTTCTTGGGCAACCAGCTCTGAATTCCTCTTTGTTCCTTTCGTGAGGCTATCTTGTATGAAAGCCATGAAGAGAAGTAACGGGACACTTTGGCCATGATAAAACCTTAGAAATTATTCAGGAAAACTTCTACTGTTCTCTACTTACTAGTGATGTGGACAAATACATCAGAAAGTACCAAATGTGCTTACTAGCAAAGACTAGACAACAAAGCATCGGGTTATATTTGACTTCTCCAGTCCCAGGCTCACCTTGGGTTGATGTCAGTTTGGAATTCAAGGTGGGTCTTGCCCACGCATCAGCAAAAAATTATGTTATGGTTTTAATTTCTTTTAATTATTATATTTATTTAAAAAAAAGTTTCTTACAATTCTCTCATCAACACATGTTGAACGGTGTCCGATTCAAGCACGGATGGACCCATTTGAAAGACCTTGACAATCCGGACGCACTCGCGCAATCGTTTTTGCAAAATAAGACCCGGATCAAAAGATTTTATGTACGAAATGAATACGCACATGAAAGGCTAAATGCACGTAAAATTCTCATCAAATCAACGTCGACCTGATCGCATATATTTAAAATCATAAAAAAGGGTGATATGTGATCAAGAGAAATGAATCCTAAGACCAACGACGAATTGAGGTAAAATACGTGATTTGACCCTTCATTAGACACAAATGGTCCACAAAACATGCAATAAGGGCATGCAAGTGATCAATGCAAAAAAGGAGGTCAACCAGGACATTGGTTTTCCATGAAACTTAAACTAGTTCTCTCTCATATGATGTGGCTTTAAACCATATGCATGCTAGTTTTCATTCTAGCTTCAACAACTTGGTATACTCTAATTATTGTTTGTGCCTAATTTCTCCCTACCCTCATCATCTTTGAGTTATGTGGTCATCAAGTTTGAGGCATCTATGCAGTAGGTATCAAGCATTACACTAGTCCTATTTTCCTAACACGAATTAAGGCAGAAGCCTTACTAAGAAATAGTAGGGTCCCTTTTCCCAACTCTTGTATTTGAATTTGATGAAATTCATCATTGCAATTTATATTGTTATTTTAGTAGTGATCTAATTTAAGCCAAACATTTTTCATTAGATTATAATATTCTATAAAAGAATGTGTATGTTGTTTTGTTGTTGCTATCCCAATCTGGATTTAAAAGATCATGACAAATATTTTGCATCTTCTAACAGGTTTGAAAAATGGCTCCCATATTTCCTGATTTATAGCGAAGAATATATAGTTTCAATTGTTTCTTGTTTGTAGAGAATTTCATAACCATGACATGAACTTTAGATCTTTTCAATATGGACCTATTTTAATTAGGTCACATACTTTACCACCCCCTTACAAATTTACAAGAGTCTCTTTCATTCAACCAATGTGCAGAGTTAATATTTTGAAGCTCCCTTTTGATAAATTTTGATATATTCAATGATGAGAACTACCTAATTGATTTTCGGAAGTTTTGACATTCAAGGAAGAGGAAGCAAAGGCAAGAAGTTGGATTTCAACAAAGATTAATAAAAGACAACTTCTAAGACCCCTGAATCCTAGATCTAGACAAACAATAAAGATTTAGAGATAAATTAATGATGAATGATGATAATCAAAATCAAGGATATAGGAAAAAGAGGGGAAAAAAGTGATGTTGCTCTTAGTAAACAAAGAGAAACCAGAATAACTTCCATTGGTGTAATAGGAAGGTACTAGAAAGTTGAAAAAATACTTATGATGGTATAGCAGCAACCACTGGATAACAAACTTTTACCGAATAGAGAGAACAACAGCAACAACACAACAAAGGGATCGAATAAAACCAATGAACAGCAGCAATAACACAATTAAACAAAAGAAAAACAGTGGAAAAAGTGTGGAGAATGGAAGATATTATTGTTTCTTCTTGCATAGCTAGCCACCCTTTTAACATTACTTATACAAAGAGAATGCCATAAATATGGAAAGACATTAATCCTAATCAAATACAAGGAAGAAAAAAACCATACATTCATGATTATATAAAGCTAATGAAATAAAGTGTTTATACGCCATACTTCTGATTGCATACATGTGAAAATTCCACACATGGAAACCCGGATCTTTTAGATTGTCACCATGAATCCTTGGAAAGACATCAGTTTCCACAAGTCCATTTCCATCCACAAGTCCATTTCCATCATAGACATGCTACAAGGATTACCCTTCCCACATTCCACTATTAGCTTGGACATTTCCTTCTCCACTCCCTTCACCTCTAATATTCATGTTTATGTATGTCTTTGTTTCTTTGGAGGATGACCTAATTGACCTACATGAGCTGCTTTCACCTCTTCCACCACACTGGCCACCTCCTTGAGCTCATCGAAGGAGAGTTCTTCCAACCTCAAGGGAGTTGATTCAGTAAAAAATCTTATTTAGGACTATCTAGAATGCTTTTGATGTCATTTTTTGTATTAAATTAATTAGGATACTTTATTTATCTTTATAGGATTAGATTTGTCATGGCTATCCTTCATTAGGTTTTGGTCATGATTATCCTATACTAGTTTATTGTACTACTAATATAAATAAAATTCATTTGGGATGTAAAGAATAATTGATTGATGTGTTGAATATGAAAGCATATCCCCCATATTCTTGCCCCTCTTATAGACACTTATTCCCCCTCATGAATTTAAATTCCTCACTCTCTCTCTTTTATCTCAATTTCTCTATAATTTCCCAAAACCCTCTGGAATCCCTATAACCCCTATACAAATTTTTGACTTATTCTCTCATCACTCATCAAAATTGTATGATTTTTTTATTATGTATTTTCAACATTCAATTTTCTACAATTTTTGTATTCATCATTTTGTCATAATGCATATGCTTCATATTTCATCACAACTTGACAAATCCAACCCACCTTCAACCCTACCAAAGAGAAGTTTGAGAAAGTAGAAAGTTCTCATGCATGCAAACATCATCCCCTTTACACATTTTTAAATTCTATAGCAAAAGCCTATTTCCTTAATCATCCACACACATTTCAAGGTGGAAAACCAAACCCTAATTAGGTTTTATTGAATTTAAACCCCCGCCAAATTTTGGGTGACACAGCTCATCTTTCAACATCAATTAGTTTCAGAGTCTCACCTTTCAAAATCAATGTGCTATGAATTCATAGATATATATCAATGTTCATGCATACATATATCTGCTTCTGTCTAGTTCATACATACATCTAAAGGCACATGCAATTGTTTGTTTGTGTTCATATATTGGTGTATGTCTAATGTAAGTTGAATGATATGCAACTATATATCTATGTACATCTTTTATCCTTGTATATCTTTTCTTATGCATGTGCCTATAAATTTTTGTGCATATGAAAGCACATCTAATTGTAAGTCCGCAAGTGAATGTGTTATCTTTGTGCTTACGAGTGTGTTGCGGAACCACAACCACTTTAGAAGCTTCCATTTGGCCGCTGAAATGCCCATGTTAGTCATGCAGGAAGTATGTTTATTTTGGTTTTTTTGCAAAAAGAATAGGACACGACTACATATGACTAAGAAGCTAGAAAATCTAACATGATTGAACCTTTAAATTTTAAATTTAGTTCACATTCAAATTTACAATTTAATTCACATTTGAATTTAATTCACAATTAAACAAATGATATGAACAATTAAATTTAATTCAAGATTAATATTTAACTCATGGTTAAATTTTCATGACTTTATTTATAACTAACTAGTCCCACATATTATAGATTTATAAATTGGACCCATTCATGCACACATAATTAATTCAGTTTTTTTAAAATTATTTAATCTCACATCATTTACACATAAATTAATATAGTTCAAAGTGCGTTGTCAAGCTCCATTTTGTAAGCTTGTAACTCATGTGGGGGTACGCACAGGATCTTGCTAGATGAGATTTAAGGCTTGACAAATTAAAAGATCATTTTTTAAAGATTGACTTGATAAGGCTCATTTATGTTTTCTAACAAGCTGATTGTTTAGAACTAGGTAATTACAAAATGACCCAAATTTGATCAATCATGAATTTAAATAAACCAAGCTCAAACATTGTTATAAAAGATTGAATTGATCTCGAGCCGAGCTTAAAAAGGCTTTAAGTAAACGAACTTGAGCACAAACAGCCTCTGGCTTGGCTCATCTTGATTCGTTTGTACCCCTACTGTACCTTATGGATACTTCTAGCACACTATGCATTTATCTGTTGGCTGTGATTTTCCTGTGAGCTATCCTTTTAACTTTTTGTAGGGATGCAATCTATGTGTGAGCCCTCAACATGGATCCTATTTGTCTAAGCTTGTTTTGCTATTTGAAAGGGCTTTGAGGTTTATTATTATAAATATTCAATTTCTTATGCATGTAAAGAACAATTGCTGTTTGATGAAAATTTAATTTATTCTTTGTGCCCAGAGCAAGTTGGATGCAAAACTTTCAATTGAGGTAAAAAAAGGTAAATAACAATTTTCTTTGAAACCTATCTCCCTGTACCAGCATGAGGCCAACATTTCTTACATCATGCATTCTTTCCTTGTTACCTTTTTTCCAGCATAATTTGTGATAGATTTATGAGTTAGAATGATTTCAATTAAAACTACTATAATCTAAATTTTCTAATTTATATGTGAATCTTGATGGAAGTGTAGCTTGTTATGATGTCAAATTTCTTACAGAATTTCTATGTGGATGATTAACATTCAAGATGAATTTTGTGTGTTTTATAATTTTCATTTAAAAAGACAAAGTCTTGTCTAAATGAAAGTTTGAGGACTCTAAATTTGCATAAGGAAACGTTAAACACTACAATGTTATGCATCAATATTGAATGGCTTTGTTCACTTCAATACAATGAAAACAGAAGATGGACAAAGTTTTTAAGCTAAATTTGCTATCAATCAGCTGAATTCTAGTAGGACAACTCACATGTTTCTTCAGCATAACAGGCAAGACTCGGGTTTGGTAACATCTTGGATTGCATTTTCTTGGCACACGCATAGTATATGGTCCTCTAATGACCTTGCCTCCCCTTCTCGGAAGCTGCTTTATTATTTTCACATCTTTTGATAGAGCCGAGATGAACCAATCAACATCAAATATTTCAGCAAAATCACTGAAACAGCGAAGTGAAAAAAAGGGGAGGAAATCTTGATAAACTTGCAACCCTATAGATAATAGTGAGACACTAAAGAACCAGATTTAAGTGCAATATGAAACCACACCTAGAATCTTTCCAGAAAGATCTCTGATCAAGCCTCGGAACAATAAGAGTCGCATTCAATATGCGCGCTGCAACAACAGCATCAGTTATCTGAAACAAACAATAGGTTAAAAAAGGACTCACTTCATCAATAATATGCTACAAAAGTTCTAAGCGATTAGGTTACAATATGAAAATCAGTTATGACACAAGGATCTAAAAGTGTTTGAATCATAGCACTGAAATTTAGACTTCGAATGTTTGTTTAAGGGTAGGTGAGTTCCTACATAAGTGCTCGAAAGTGATTGGAACTACATTTTAGAATTGTTTTAGCGTTTATTTGGTAGAAAGCAAGTTCTCATTTTTTGAACTCACCTTCATAAAGGTGAGAAATTATTTGAGGGCTTGTAAGTCAACTTCATCTTTTTATTTGCTTTTGCTTTTAATCTAAAAGATAATAAAATAACGTAAAAAAAAGGAGGATGTTTCAAATATGATTTCAATTTATTATAATAATAAAATAATATAAAAATCAATGAGAGAATGAATAAAAATGAAATACAATATAGTTGAAAAAAGCATCACAATTGAGTTTGGCAGTAGTAAATTCATTCAAGTCAAATAAAAGTCATGAAACTCACTTCAAAGAGACTTAACTTCATAACATAACTTCAATGCAAGACTACTGAGGTTAGGATTTCCAAATGCGGCTAATATGATTAGTAATATGATTTGATGTAAAAGAAAATAAGGATTCACATATCACAATTTATTGATTAAATCAATGGCCTTCTATTTTTAAATGTAATTAAGTAATACTAAAACTTAGAAATAATTGATAATGAAATGATAGAAATAATCCAAATTTTTCAGCAATAAATTGAAAACAAATGAAGTCAAGGCAAATTGAGGTTATACAAATTAACTTCCATACAAAATTCTTTTTGATCAATATCAAGAGCACTAATTAAATCAATATCAAATAATATAGATGACAAAGAACAAGGAATTAAAATAACAAATTAAGAAAAATCAGGCTTCACACGGGTAGCAGATTACTTACCCCGCTTCGAGTCATTTTTTGCTGAAAGCCAAATTCCGAAAGTTATCCCGATCAAGGTAGGTTGCATTTTGACTATCTCAGTTTTTAATAATCCGACAATTTTAGAATTTTCCTGATTAAAAATATAAATTTCTAGTATTTTAACTGAGATAACTTTTAAACGGGAAAACTTTCACCGCATGACTTTTGATACATTGCAGAGAACATAGTTATGGACATTTAGTTATTTTTCTATAAAATTTCTATCTGATATTTTTGAAACACTGCATTTATAAAACACTAGGAAAATATTCAGGCACTGAAAAGTAGTATTGTAATACAATTAAGCCTTTGAAATGTAGTTCTGCACGATCTATGGTAATTTTGCAGAATTCTGAGTCAGTGAATTTTTGCAACACTATATTGGGTTTGATTGCTAAAATGTTGCCCATAAGAAAAATCTTTGAAATTCTATAAAAGTCTAATTTATGTTTACATATACATTTGTGCATTTCTGAATGATATTATGTTTGTATATAAGGAGTTCATAGGAGAGTTCTATTTGGAATTCTTTTATATATCCGTGGAGTTCTATTGTGAAGATTCTAAATGAGCTAAGAGCACTGGAAGGCCTAAGGCCAGGAGTTCTGAAAGGGAGGCATAAGGGTCGAGAATTCTGAATGGGAGACATATGGGCTGGAGTTCTAATACTTTCTCTTATGCAATGTGTATTTATTTATATTCTGTTAAGCTAAATTTGCATTATGCAAAGCATATTATGCTCTGAATTCTATAACATGCTTAGATATCAGCAAAATCCTACATTGTTCTAACATGACTTTAAAGTATGTTCATTATTAAGATTGGAATAATTACTTTACTTAAGTCATTGGTTTTACGGTTATTGAGAATTGATTTAGGGGAAAATGTAATCTACTGAACTATGTTAGCTCATTCTGAGTTCTGCATTTTATTTTTCAGTTCAAAACAGGGGAAAAGGGTCCGTTAAGTAGATGATAAAGCTGATTTTCTGAGTCTTGCTGATGTATGTGTACCATTTCCATTTTTGATTTAGAATTTTTGAACAGTCCTAGCATTTTTCTATTTCATGCCATGTGTTTGTTTGTTGTCAGAGACTGTTATAGCAAGAATATGTACTATATACTTTTGTGGATAAATGGAATAGAAGAAATTTCTTCTGTCGATGAGCAAATTGTTGTATGGTGGAAGAATTAGAAGCTCTAGTGTCTATTATTTAAAAGAAATCTAATATTTCTCTAAACAATCTTAGTCTACTATGTTCCACCTCTACTCTGTCACCATCCAAATTGTGAATCATATCGGGTTGGGTGGTGACAAAACCTATGCAACAACCCAAGTAATATAGATATTTATCTTAGTTGTTTCTAATGTCCCAACACACGGGCGCAATCTATTTCCCGAACAAACAATCTTCAATGACTTACATTCTTGATCAATATATTCCAACCTATTTGATTGTGTAATTGAGCAACATTGCATATGTTGCTTGTCATTTCATCCTATTTGATTGCATCAACTTTGTAATAGTCATCGAGGTCAACACCTACAAAATAAGCCTCAAAGTCATTACTTTAACAATACGCCACAGGAAGAGAGAATGAAGTCTTACTTTGCAAATGATGCATGCCTTCAAAGTTGCAGATAATCCTCAAACACCTAAGAATCACTAAACTATCAATGGGTTAACATTTACCTCCAAGAACAACACATTATCCTCTTTTTGCCAAAGAAGTTTTAAAGCCCTGGTGTCCATAAGCACATAAAGTAAAATGCAAATAAAAGAAGTACAAATAAAAGGTGGATACGCATCTATCATCACCACTGAAAATATGTAGGATTCTAAGATTATCATACAATACATGAACAGTTTAGGACTACAAGACAGATGGCAAGATTTCTCAATAAGAAAAACAATTAGCATCTGCAAGTCTAAACCATACAAACAGAACATTTACAGCTAAAGATACACTGGGGGAAAAACTCAATCATGGAGCTCCCATTAATATAGATTTTGGAGGTTAATCTACGCAGGAGTACCCCTGCATTTGCAAATAGGTTGTTTCTATGACATTAATATTTTGGATTTAAATATACATAAAATATTAAACATAAATTATTTAAACAATCTCATTCTGGTTCTAAACTAGTCTGCTTTAAAAATTCAAATGACGTTTTGGTTAAATACAAAATTTAGAAGAAACCAAATAAGATTTAAAAAAAAAAAAAAATTCTTCTCCTTCCAATAGACACAATTGCTATACTACGGGAAAAGTATCTCACTCCAGTCCTTTGTTGATTCAGACCTCCGCTTGTTGCAATCATCAAATATCTGTTTGGAAGAGTAATGACTTCAGCAGCTGCAAAATATGACAACAAGAAAATACTATCAGGTGAAAGAGAATAAATAAATAGCCTGCGGTTCAGTTAACATTTATAAAAATGGAATTGTAAGGTGAAGAAATTGACCAGTAACCCCTTCATTTTTTCAATGTGCTCTGATATTTTACCTAATTAAAATTAGAAGTTACTAAAAATTAAAACTGTTTAATAAAAAAGTGGCCCCCAAAACAAATTCTAATCACAATGATTGTTTGCATAGTTACATTACTTGGAGCTTAGTAGGTTTCCACTTCCTATACTTGACCATTGCATCAACAACTAAAACTCACCAGCAAATTTTTTGCTAGCATTGCAGCAACCATAATAGTACTTGGACAACTTCGAACTCCAAAGATCATACTTGGTTTTTTCTCCCTCATTCTACCAAAGAAAATAAAAGGCACCATACCATCTTTGAATGAGATTATTGAATTCCCATTACCACATCTGAACAATAAATCTAATGAGCAATCATTGGTTGAAAAATACATACTGGAATATGAAAAACCGCTGGATGGGATACCTCCTGCTGCGCATCAATAGAGGCATTCTTCTACACATTTTAAAAAATAAATAAATACAATGTAGAAATCAACCAAGACATGATGAATGTTTGATTTTAGCTTTATTTTCTACTTTTTTTTCACCATTTTTTTCATTTTGTTTTCAGTTTCACTAGAATCAGAGCATTCTGACTACCCTGCACAGCTTCTGCATTGCAAGAATTAAGTGTTGGTTAGTTCACTGGCATATGCTGCCCAAGGTTATATTATTAGGAGATGCCACTTATTTAATTTATAGATAAAATATGCATGGCATGCAAATTATAATGAGGGGTTTACACACATACCACATAATTATTATGTATTTATATAGCTAACGTATAAATTTTTATAGTAGCTTACATAACACTCAAATCTTTAAATTGCATCAAAAATATCATTAATATTAACTTTTTTTTAAGTGAAATATATATTTTCATATATATATCTTCTGATATGATTGAAACACTAATATGTTAAATAATTTAATATAAAAATGTTTGATACAGATACACAAATGCATAATAATTCTGTGGTATGTAAGTAAATCCCCCAGTTATACTTTTCTAACATCTGGTGTCAGTCTATGGAAAGTGAACCAAGCACAAAGCCGTTAGCAGATAACATATGACTCAAACACACAGCATTCATTGATAATGCTTACATCTATATAACTCTAATCATTTGATAACACAGACATTAAAATATTCATGCTTACCTTAATTGTTTCAAAACAAGCCAACCTAGCACTACTCATAATTTTAAGAAGCATGGACGTTTGACTTAATAAATGCAATATCAAACATGCATTCTAGCGCTTCAAAATTGTTAATGTTAGAGATAGTGATGTGAACCTTATTGCCAGGATAATGTTCCCTCTGTAGATCCCTAAAGCCCCGCCTCTATTTCCAGTAAGAGAATAATAGAGAGAAAAATATTAGGGCGCCGAAGATGAACCAAAGGACGCGACATATAGAGGGAGAGACTATAGAAGAGAAGCGAGAGGTCTACCGGTCGATCGCGGATGCGGTGGAAGGGCTCGGCGAGCGAGCGGCTGTCAACATCGAGACGAGGTGTGAAAAAGAAGAGGAAAGCAATGAAAAGAAAGACGAGCAAGGTGGCGGTAAAGATTGCGGGTTTGGTCCGCATCGCCGGAGTCAATCGGTGGCGCCGCCGCTGGAAAGCCATATTCGTGCGCCTTGGATGACCCGGACCGGCAACGGCTCCGCTCCCAAAGTGCTGGCCTTTGGAGATGTCCGAGCTCGGCGAGACGGGTATCGAGGAGCTAAGGGGACGCGGGTAGGATGAGAACAAGGCAAGCACTGTTGCTTTGCTTGGGATGCGGATGTCTTTGCTGTCGCTCTGATAGGAGAAACGCAAAAAAAAAAGTTGGCATGCTGCCAACTCATACTCATAAAAATAAGTACTAAAATGAATAATACATTATTTTCATATTACGAAATTAAAAAAAAAAAATTGCATGTATATCACTATATTTCATATTATTTATATATCTAATATCTAATATTCTAATATTACATGTCTACCATAAGAATGAAATATATGAGTGATATATTTGATAATAAATTTTTATATGAGTGATAAGACTATAATATTAAAGTTTTAGGTATTAGATATGTAAATAGCATGAAATAAAATAGTATGTATGTAATCCCCTAAAAAAATTAAAAAATGTTTAATTATGCTAGTAATTAAAGTAAATGTAATATATTTGTTTAATGAAAATATAAAATAAAATTTGAGAGTATGATTATGTTGATATATCATTATTTTTTTACTCTATTCATCTTAAATAGAGCAATATTTTATCTTAAGTCAGTCATAAAATAGAAATATATTAAGATCATAATGATCATTGATAAATCATATATTATTATAAAAGTAAGGAATTTGGGTTGATTTGGTTGAATCAAGGAGTAATTATTGTGTCCGGACACCGAACGCATCCAGAGACCAATAACAAAGCGCCACGTCACTTGGACGCTCGGTACCGTGCTCGGTACAACACTCGGTATCGCTCGGTATTTGTCCATATTTTCGGTAATTTATTCGGACATAATAAATTTTCCAAATCAAGGGTCAATTGAGACTAATTATGATAGGGTTCTTACCCAATGTGACATGTCCCCAAATTTAAATTTGAATAATTTATATGTATATCTTTTAATATCCAACACGAAAGCTATCTATTTTTCTTCTATCAGTAATAATAGCGACACAAACAAATATAATAATCAAAACATCAATATATATTTGAAATTACTATATGCGTTCAGAAGGGTGTGAAATTGATATTTTAATAACTTCTTTAAAGAGAATAAATATCTTTTTATAAACTAGATGCGGAAGCAAATTTCATTCACAATAAAAAGATAGATTATCAATTTCATCCACGCAATTAATAGCAATAAAAATGAATGTGAAAATAAAGTGCGGACAAAATAAAGGAAAGAATACACCGATTTATAGTGGTTCGGTCAAACCATGACCTACGTCCACTCCCCAGAGACACCCTCCGAGTATTACACTAAACTTTTAGTGATTCTTCTTTAGCCCCCACAGCTAGGCGGAGAAACCCTTACAAAATCACTTCCACCTTCCCTGGTGCGGCGGAGGAGCCGGGTCCTTTGACACCAACGAGATCTTCTTCTTCTCAAAACTTTCTTCAAGGCAAACCTTAAATCCAATGGTACTGAGATGCAAGCTCGCCGAAGCAACCGTGTGAAATCTCCTTTACACTCCCTTGAATCCCCCTCCAAGGATCTTCTCCCTCTCTCAAACTCCACCCTTTCCTCTCTTCCTTTCAAGTCCCTTCAAGTTTTCTCCAACAAAATGAAGATACAATGGCTGTCAAAGACTCTTACAAAGTCTTATATGAGTGCTTAAATAGAGGGCTCAAAAAAACCCTAAAAAACTCAATTTAACCGCCAAATATCGTACTGTACGATCGCAAGATCGTCCAGTACTATGTGCAAAAATTGCCATGTTGGTACTGTACGATGTCCATTTAGCACTGTACGAACAGCTCAGCTGAAGTTCGTATTGTACGATGTGCTGTACAAACAGTTTAATAAAAGTGCAGTTCGTCCAGGATGAAACATGGGACAACCATAATTGTCTCTGTTAATCGTACAGTACGATATAGTTCGTATAGTATGATCAAAATATTAAAATTAAGCCATTTTGATTGAATAATCACAGGATTAAATTAGGCAATTTTTAAACATCGTACAGTACGATCATAATCGTACAATACGATTAGAACAACTTTTCAAATTCAAATTTTTGCCTAATTTAATAGACGGCGGGCTTTCTAATTATAACAGATCATACAGTATGATATGGTATTCGTACAGTTCGATTAGTTATATTTTAAGAATATTTTTTCATAAAAATAAAATATTATAATTAATTTATGTTACACCTGATCGTACAGTACGATGAATAGAAAAATTAAAATATTTTAAAATCATTTTTTGCTCCCTCTATGTGTGTGCACAGTCAATAAACTAACATACATCATTACAATACTTAACTCAAGAAATAAAAATTACATACTCATTTAATATAACTAGTTCTACACAATCTTGAGCCTTAAATCTTCAAAGAACGGTGCATGATGTACCTGAAATATTAGTCCACACACAAACAAATTTGCATTACAAATAATAGGAGAAATAAAAAATTAATCAATATTATTTGTTATCATCAAAATCATAAATTTGAAAGCCCGAGTTACAACAATATTTATATTCATTGATGCATAAATTATATACAATACTTATAAATCATATAACTACAACACATCATATAGTCATGAGTACAAAAGAATAACTAAAAAAAAAAAAAAAACCTAATGAATAATGATTAATCTTATACTCATAATCCTTTGCTTTAATCTGAAATCACTTAAACTACATTTAATGAGCTAAAAAGCTCAGCTTGTCACTAAATCCTACAATTGAACTCAAAAGTACAGTAAAGAAGTAATATGCATGTCATTACATGATTCATAATAATAATTGTAAAAATGATCATGAATCTGTGCATAAATAATAAATACTTGCAGTAGCAGCAAAATCTAAAAAATAGTATAACAGTATAGTACGAAAACTAGTGAAACAGTGTAGTGTAGAAACAGTATAATCGACAAACAAGTAAACTAATAAATCATTATATAAGTAAATAAATATGGAGGTCGAATAAATAACTAGTAAACAATCATTCACAAATTATATGTCATAGCAATAAGGACGTATAAATCATATGTCATAACATTAAGAAATTGTATAAATTAAATATTATAACTATAAGGAATCATATAAATCAAATATATCATTGAAAACTATTGGAATCCATGACAATATAGTACAATCAAATCAATATATAATTGAAATTCAATCATTTTATATTAGTATCCAATAAGTATTTCATATCACATACTCGGTATCACTTGCTTTGTATGGAAATCACATGCTCAATATTCAATAATAGTAAATCAGTCAATAGTGAATCAGTAGCAATACCAGTAGTATTAATATTCATAAAAATTGTGGCTGAGTAAAACAGTACAGTAACATTAAAACATTAATTGATAAAATAGTAAAACAATACATTAATAGTGGTGCAATAAGATACATTTCAGTAATCACAATAAATAATTAAAGAGTTGTGGCTTGTATGGTATTTTTTTAGTAGTCGTTAATTAGAAATCAATAATCATTTGCTCATTAATATTTGGCTTGTTAAATAGAGTGGTTACTCATTGCTCATTAGTGCAGTAATAACTCCCTATAACTTTTAATCAATGTATCATATGAATCAATTGATGATAAAACCAAACTAAGGTATTTAAAGAAAAGTTTGCCAGTCGTCTAACATAATGTATATGTTAGTTAGTCTCCGACCAACATTAATAAAATTAACCTTTATTTATCCTCATACATACTATTATTACAGTATTATAATAGTAATAACAACAAATTATTATCCAATAACTTGCTCAATATTCATTCAACATGTTTGTATTAATAGTATGCCTATATAAAAATACCAGAATTCATTTTCTATGAAAATCATTCAAAATATAATATTTTTTTATTATGAATTTACCACGCGAAATCATGAAATCATTCAATCAAAATATCTAGAATAATCATTATTATAACATATAAAAAAGTTGTACGACCTAATTCACTAAATCCAAAGGAAAGAAAATGATAAATTTAATTTAAAGGAAATCCTACGGTTGAAATCAAAATATTTGAAAATAGAGATAAGATAAAATTATCTTACGTCGATCTAAACAATTTTCATAAAACATGAAAATGAATCAATGAAAAAAAATTTGGATTTATCTTTCTCTGTCCTCCTTCCATCCCCTTCTTCTCCGGCAAGCTGACGCTGCTGGCATGCGTGACGAGTTAGTGGAGAGAAAACAAAGAATCCCATTATCTTATATAAATTAAAAATCACTTTTTCCATTCTTAATTTGACTATCAAAGAGTAGAATTTAATTTATTAATTTTACTAAAATATAATTTTCTAATTTAATTTAGTAATTTTACTATAATTTAATTTATTAGAGTTACTATTCTAAAGTTTATTGATTTTGTTTATTAATGGGCAAGTCGTTAACAAAGATAACGACTCACCTTGAACCTAGATCAATCATTTCAAGTCTAAGGCCCGACCCATTCCACCTACGCCCGAAGACCCTTTTAAATGGATTTACCCCGTCAGAGTTAATCCGTCAGAGCTAATCATTGGTTTACCAAACCATTGATATCATTTCTAAATATTTATTTTAGTCAAAATAATTAATAACATACATCATTTTAAAAATTATCCTATTTTTTAGACATTTCACATTAAAATTGAAAAGAAATTTTTATAAAAGTTATCCCCATATGCTATTTATCTTTAGAGAGAAGAGCTATACTCCATGATAATGTATACATAATTTTATAAAAATAAAATTTATTAATTTATATGATTATATCATAATTTTAAATTTTTATTTCATTACATATATTATATAGATTAATCACATGGAAAAAAAAAAATGTAAACTTTATAAGAATTAAACGTTTATCAACCCCCATCTCTTTACTTCAGCAAGACAGTCTACACTATCCCGTTCGTACGCAAAGCCGGGAAAAGGGAGAAAGAAGCGCTCTCTCCGTAACTCGGTCTCCTCTCACTGAAGGAAAGAATCGCCGACCAAAATCCTCTTGGAGGTTATAGAAGAGGAGACAGAGAGTGAGAGAGGCCGAGCTCATGTCTTCCTTCATCGCTTTGAGGCCTCTATCACCGGCGCTCTCTTCTTCCTCCTCTACTCCATTTATCTCACCGCCTCTGTGTTCTGTTCCATGCCTTCCTCTCTTCTCTGTGTCGTTTCCTCCGCAGAGGCGGAGCTCCTGCAGTTTGAGAGCTCTTTGCGTACAGGATCCTGGAAGCATCGCCTCTGATGGAGACACCAAGCCGCCCAATGGGAATCTGGTTCTCTTTTATCTCCCCCATTTACTGGCAGATTAGAATGCCTTGCAACTTCTGCACAATTTTTAAGCACTCACACTGTTTTTGGTTTTCCGAAAATTGGATTTATTTGATGGATTGATTTCTTTCTATTGCCGAGGGAGCAAAGACATTGTTTTGTCAGAACAATTCCATGCATTTTGGACTTGGCATACAGAGTATAAACTGTCAAATTTGAATATTGCATTTTTCTGTTCTAAAATTCTACTTGTTTGCGGGCTGGTGGTTTTCCCCCCTTAATTTTGATTTTTTAATGTTAGCATGAAACATTTGATTTATTGATTATGTACCTAACAATTTATAATTTTTTAATATTTGCTCTTCCTAGAGGGGTTATCATGCCATCTGGTTAAATAGTTTGAAGTTTGATACAGTAGCAACGTTGCGGGCTAGTTGCTTTGACAATCTTGATAATCTCTGGGCTTGCATGTTGCGGTTGAGATATTTAATTAGACTAAGTATGATTTAATTAATATAACTAAGATGATATAGTCAAAACTCTTAAATCTTGAAATTAGAAGTGAAATAATTTACTAATTAATAATTAGTTGGGATATTAATATATAATATTTATGTTTAAGTATGTTTTGATTAATTTCATTATAATTATGTAATATGTATTAATTTTATTATTAATAATTATTATTAAAATTTTGATGTAGGCAAAGGGGGGTCAAAACAAGACGAGAATTTGTTTTGACCCTTGGGCCTCTGGTGTTTTCGGGTGAGCCTTGGTTGCTTGGTATTGAGCTAAAAATGTTGGAATTTTACTTTGTTTTAGCTCATAAATGTTTGAGCTAAATTTTAGCTCAATGATTGGGGGATTTATTGCACTTCCTAGCTCATTAATTTTGAGCTTTTGATTAGCTCATAATGAGCTGAAGTTTAGCTCATTTATTTAAGTTTAGTGGATGCTCATTATGGTGGATCTTGCCCCTTTCTCTTCCCCATGCTTTCTCTCGGTTTCCTCCGTGTCTTCTCGGTTTCCTGTGCTAGCTGATTCTCGTGCCTTGGCCCTTTGGTTCCCGTGGATGGCTGTTTGGTTCCCGTGGCTGGCTGGCTAGATCCCGTGCCTTGTCCCCTTGGTTCCTGCGGCTGGCCGCTTGGTTCCGTGGCTTTTATACTTGGTTCCGTGGCTTTTCTTCTCTGTTTTGCTGTACCATTTGGGGGGGCTGATGTCTTATGGCTGTTGGTCTTTTATTTCCCTAAATCTGATAGGTTTATTTAATGCAGTTTGGTGGCTGTTGGGTGGGGATTTCAATGGATGCATCTCTGTTTTCTGTGCAGAATTCCTGTTGCAATTTTTGGAGACTTTTGGCCTTTCATTTGGTGTCTTTTGGCCTTCTAGTTTCCATAATTTATTGGGTTAATAATTGTTTGAAGTGGCTGTTTGGCTGCCAGCTTTTCTCCTATAAATATAAGATGTTTGGGCAAAGAAAAAAAGAGTTGTGATGATGATAATTTTTGGATAAAAACCTGAGAGTTTTTTTTGAAAAAGCTTGAGAGCTTTGTCCACTTCTTCTTCTTCTCTATCTTGGGATAACTTGCGAGATACTCCTATCCTTCATCTTGACTTCTAATCCCTTCTTCTACCCACAAGTATCCCTTCCACTTGCATCCTTCTTCTAAATGAAAGAAAAGCATCTTTAGGTTGTTTTAAGTTTGGTCTTGAAGGTTGTAACTTGTAAGTGTTTCTTTATGTTTGTATGTGTTCTTGTTATATGAAATGTAAGAGTTTGTTTTAAAGTTTCTAAGTTGTCTCTTCTTTGTTGTATTTTCTTATCCCATGTATGTTTTTAAAGATTAGTAAGGTTTTGTTTTTGTAATAAAAAATTTGGGGCCCTTCCCAAATTTTTGATTACATCAAAATCTTATTTGAGTTAACAAATTTTAAATCCTAAAATAAATATTCAAATAGTTCATTTATATTTAATTGAATTTAACCTCTATCATGCCAAATAGTATTTCAGGATTTAATACCCTCAAGATTTAGTAAATCCGGATTTATAAGATTTATGAAATCCTACTTGAGTTAAATCCAACTTGAATCTAAACAGCCCCTAAAGTTAGTAGGCCTATCAACACTTGGGTCTGCACATGTTTATAATGTTGCTTGGCTAATCTTACTAGCAGATCAAGAAAGATCAACTCTTATCTAACCTTCTTGTTAACAAATTTTAATTTAGGACCTTTTTGGTTTCGGGTAAGTAGAATGCCGCAATCCCCACTTCTAGAAGTGGAACTTGAGGAAGCTATTTCTTAGAAAATTGTATTTTTGGCTATCAGTGAAGTGTCTCTTCCTCTTCCATAGTCTTCTTATGAAGGAATGTGTATTGTTTGGTAACCCTAAGAAAATTACCTCATGCCAATGTGTACAAGTATTTGATAGCAAACTTATATCTGCATGCACACACATTGACTAGGAGGTGAGAGTTTCAGCCTTTCAGGCACTCGTTTATAGTGCATGTAATGACACACACATTCACAGGGAGTTGAATGTCACATATAAGAACTTTCAAGTAACTTTAGAGTGTACGAGCTGAGTTCAAGTGGCTAAGAATGGCATATGTCACTTCCTCAGGCATCAATCACTTTTTCTCTTTGACCAATAGTCGAAATGCTCCATTGTCCCTAGCTTCACATTTCCTAATTTATTGTGCATGCAAGCAAATACTCCCTTAACTCATACTAACAAAGTTGGGTTGGTATATGTTAACCTCTCTTACAGTCACTCAAACAACTACCAAACTACCCAAGAGAGTGGTGAAGTATGCATCAAATGAGTTCTTCAACCCTGATCATGCAAGTTTCCTCCTTTACTTTAATATATGGAAAACTAATCTTCAACTATAATTATATAAGCATCAGTCTTTTCACTTGCATGTTTATGCAATAAGGAAAGTGATGGGGTGAGGACCCAATGCTTGAAGTTTTTTTTTTTATATTGGGTTGGGGAAGTTTTGATGTATGAAGCCTTATGCGTACATTGAAGAGAGGATGCTTATGCGTTTCGAACCCAAGGTCTTTAGGTTGTATTGGATGCAATTAACCATTGCTTTATAATTGCCTTAACATTAAAATGCATGGGCATTTAAGACAAGTATATATCATAGTAAATCTAACTTGTTCTTGTATCGTGCATTATGATACCATCACAAGCTCCTACATCCAAAGTGTTCGAGTCAAAATCCAATTAGCAAACATAGTCAGCAATTCATCAAAGGAAATAGATAAATAACCTCCATTCTTTAAAATCAGCTTTTTCTTTGTTTTAAATGCTAAAATTTATTTGGTGTAGTTGGATGCATTTTTTGGTGGCATAAGGATTATTTTAAATTGCCTGTTGTTTTGCCTAGGTAATGCTAAAATTTATTTGGTGTAGTTGGATGCATTTTTTGTTGGCATACGGATTATTTGAATTTGCCTGTTGTTTTGCCTAGGTAAACACAATTTCTCTAATGAAATTTAGATATATACTTGGTACCACTTAACTATAGTCATTGGAAGTTTTATTCTTTATTCCACCGTGGTAATTGTCAATCCGAGCTAGCTTGTTTGGTTTACTTGATTCCTGTTTAAATATCTATGGGCTATTTTGTTTTTACTGTATGCTTGAGCATTTTATCTGAAAAATAATCAATATTGGGTAGATAATAATGCATACCAATACTATTCTAGATGGTTTAATTATGTCATGCTCCTACAACACCACCACAACCAACAACGACACTAAGCTTTATCTCACTACTTGGGGTCAGCTATATGATTCCCTTTTCCCCATTATGTCCTATTGAGTGTTAAAGTCTCATTTAAATCTAATTAAAAAAAAATCATTTTTAATACTTTATAACTAAGTCTTTTTAGGTCTACCTCAATATTTCTTAACATTGGTCGGATATAATACATTTTATCTTCTAACATGATCATTGGAAGATTGACGTTTTATGCGACCAAACCATCTAAGGCGTCTTTTTCTAATCTTATGTGCTATTGGAGCTACTTCAACCTTTTAATGTATATCTGAGTTTCACATTTTGTCTTTAAGTGTAGAGCCATTCATCTACCAAAGCATCTTTATTTTTGTAACAATTAACTTAATTTTATGCTTCTTTTTAATGACAAACATTATGTGCCATAAAGCATTATATGGCTCACCACTATAACAACAACAACAACAACAACAACAACAACAACATCAAGCCTTTATCCCACTATGTGGGGTCGGCTACATGAATCCTTTTCCTCCATTGTGTCCTATTAAAAGTCAAATTCTTGTTTAAATCTAATAAAGAATGGTCATCCTTAATATTTTCTAACCAAGTCTTTTTAGGTCTGCCTCTACCTTTCTTAACATAAGTCAAATCTAATACCTCTACTCTTCTAACCGGGTCATCGGAAGGCCGCCACTATCTTATAAAATTTTTTCTCAAGTTTGAGGGGCTATCAAACAATAGGTCGAACACATTCCTCCACTTCAACTATCCATCTTGAATTCTAGTATTAATATCCCCATCTATTTCACCATTGCTTTGAAAATATACCCAAGATATCTAAAATATGCACTCTTTTTAATGACTTGATCATCCAATGTCACAATCCCGCAACTAGATCTATTACTAAGATTGCTTTTCATGAATTCAGTTTTAGATCTACTCAAACGAAAACCTTTATGCGAAGGTTGACCTCCATAAGTCAAGTTTTTCATCAACTCTCTCTGTAGTCTTATCAACAAGAAGAATATCATCAACAAAAAGCATACACCAAGATACATAATCTTGCACATGTCTAGTAAGATTCATGATTGAGCAAAAAGATATGGGCTTAAAGTTGATCATTGATGTAACTCAACTGAAATATGAAAATACTTGGTCCAACCACCTTGTGTTTGAATGCTAGTAATAGTTCCTATATACATATCTCTAATAACTTGAATATAAACATTATTAACTTCTTTCTTTTCTAGAACTCTCAAAAGCACTTCTCTTAGGAGTTTATCATATGCTTTCTCTAAATCGATAAATATCTTATGTAGATCTTACTTACTATCTCTCTATTTCTCCATCAAACCTCTCAACAAATGTATAGCTTCCATTGTAGACCTATGTGGTATGAAATCAAATTGATTTTGAGAAACATTATTATCATATCATAACCTAAGCCCAGTTATTCTCTCCCATAATTTTAATATATGAAACATTAACTTAATTGATGCATTCAATAATTTTGGTTTATTTATGTTTTATTGTATTTTTAACAATATTAGTTGTGTTTTATTTTTGTTTATGCTATTCTATGATGGTTGGGCTTCTAATGATCATGGTAGGAATGTGCTAGGCATGGCAAGCCTTGGATTTGCTTGCTTTTGGGTCCACTTCGTCCTTGGGCTGCTTGCTGATTTCAGTTTGGTGTGGTGGTTGCTTGGTGTTGAGCTCAAAAAAATGCTGGATTCTACTTGGTGCTAGCTCATAAATGTTTGAGCTGAAGTTTAGCTCAATGATTGGGGATTAAATGCTCTTCCTAGCTCATTAATTCAAAAAGGTATGCTATTATTTCAAGGATTCATTTTGGAGTGGACTTGTGCCTCTTCTCCTCCCTTTGTCTTCTCAGTTTCCCCTTGCTGGTTGGTTTCCCGTGCCTTGCCTCTTTGTCTCCTGTGCTGGCTCTTCGGGTCCCTTGCTGGTTGGTTTCCCGTGCCCTGGTGCTTTACCTCCTGTGCTGGCTTTTCGGGTCCCTTGCTGGCTGGTTTCCCGTGGCTATTTGGGGGGGAATTCGGAGGCTTCCTCTCTATTTTCTGTGCAGAATTCCTGCTGCTATTTGGTCTTCTATTTGGTGACTTTTGGCCTTTCATTTTCCCTAATTCTAATTGGATTTGGTTGGAGGTGTTATGGCTATTTGTCTACCTTCTTTTGCCTATAAAAATAAGTTGTTTTGAGATGAAAAAGGTTGTTGAATATTGTGAGCAAAGTCTCTACAAAAACCTGAGGGTTTTCAGCTCTTGGAAAAGCTTGAGAGCTTGTTCCATCCCCCTTCCTCCTCTCTATTTAGTCTTGGCTTCTAATCTCTTCTTCTCTACGCAAGTTCCACTCCACCTGTATACTTCTTCTTGAGCTTTGGAAGTGTATGTTGGCTGAAATTTTTAGACATTTGCCGGAGGAGTTTGGTAGGACATTGGACTCTTTTGTAGTGGTGGACCCTCGGTTTGTGAGCCTAAGCACAATTTGATTATATATTCCTACTCTCATTGCATGTGAGGAGACCGCTAGACGGTTTTGCTGAGGATAGCGTTTTATGTTTTTTTTTTTATTTTGTTCTGTTCGATTTGGCTTTTGTTTCTTCGAAGTTTGTGTGGATGTTTGCAAGTTACATTTGAATTGAGTTTGGTTTAAGTCTTGTCCTGGTGTTCTCCAATTTGTCTCTTTACTATAGTTTTTGCACGCATCATTAATTCTACACCCTTGTGCATTACTTTTATTTCTAAAAATATGAATTAACACACTCCTCAATCAGTTGGCATCTTTTTAATCTGCAAAATAATATTTAGAAGTTTAGTAAGTCATAAAATTCCTTGATCTCCTGAGCATTTTCATACTACTATTGGAATATCATCAGGTTTTATTGCTTTTCCACACTTCATTTTCTTTTAAGCCTCTCCAACTTTAGTTTTACTATTATGACGATAGAAATAAAAATCTCTATTTTCATTTGGAATGTTAAGTTCACTAAAGTTAATCCCATTCTCACAATCTTCATTGAAAAATTTATGTAAATATCTCATCCACCTATTTTAAATATCCTCTTCTAAGAAACTAATATTTTGATTTTCATCAGGAACGCACTTTACTGGAAACATTTATACTTTTGCAACCATAATTTATTGTGAAGTATATGACATTGAGGTCTGACAACAAGACCATATAAATGCAAACAGGTTTAGCGTGAAATTTTTACTAGAAAACCCATGAACATTTATCATTTCTACGCTTTGCTAGTTCAAAGCTTCTCATTTAGAAGTACCATTTCAGCTTTTCCGTTCAGCTCTAACGAGCTTTTGTTTTTACGTGTAACCAACTATTTAGAGTTTCTGTTTTAAAATTTGTCTGATAGTAACGGGTAACCAGCTCATACCTTGTTGGTTACGTTAAAGATAGCATACGCAGATATTTTACATGCTTAGCATTTCCTTCATCTCCAAAGGCCATTATATATGGTATTTTGATTTTATTAATCTCAATGTTCAGCCCAAGAGCAGGAGGGAGATTCTTTTAGAGTACATAAAAAATGTTCAGCCTGATATTCTGCAGTTATTTATGAAAAGGGCACCGCAGCAGGTACGTTAACATTCAGTTCATTGGCTTACTTCTTATGTGCATTGTCCTTTAATTTCCTCCTCTTTTGAATGGAAAAGAGTTCACAAACACCATAATGAGTTTGGACTTTTTCTTTACGTATTGTTTCTTTTTTAGGCTATTTTTTACACATGCATATTGTGAAAACTATAATACATGGTTTTCACAATATTTTTTTCTTTTCCTCTTGCAGATTGTGGATGCAATGCGCCAGACCGTGACAAATATGATTGGAACACTCCCCCCTCAATTTTTTGCGGTGACTGTTACCACAGTAAGCAAGCAGTGACATTGAATTTCAGATTAATATGCTTTTTGAGCTGTGATGTTCAGTTCCATTACACCAGTAAACCCATTATGCAATATGATTGTGATGCACTTATTCGATCAGGTTGCAGAAAACTTGGCGCAGCTCATGTATAGCGTGATGATGACTGGTTATATGTTCAGGAATGCACAATATCGCCTGGAACTGCAACAAACTGTAGAGCAAATTGCACTTCCCGACGCAAAAGAGGAGGTAATTGGCATCTAATTGTTGTTCATTTCTTGATCAGCACAAAAGATATTGATGTTGCAGTTCAATTTTTCTGCAAACACACTATCCTGCTGGAATGTTATTAGACTTGCAAATTCCTTGAGGCAAGCTCTGAAATTACAGGGTTGCAATATTTTCTGAATAAAATGGCTTTTGAAAGGTTGGATGTGGAAAGCGCTTCAATGGTTTTATCAAGATGGTGTTTTTTAGAAGGATTATCTTAGAAATGAGGACTATGCTAAGGTATGAGGGTAGTTTCTGTTGAGGAAGAATTGCTGTCAAAGTAGGGGTGTAAGTGAGCCGAGCCGGTTCGAGCTCGACTCGATAACGAGCTTACGAGCCGAGCTTATTGAGCCACAAGCTCGAGCTCGAGTTCGAGCTTGACAAGGCTTGGCTCGCGAGCCGGTTTAAAATTATTAACTATTTAAATAATAATAATAATAACCCTGATGCTCACATGTATTTTAAATTTCCGTCCTACCACGCGTGTATTTCAAATCTAAATGAGCTCTCTCTCTCTTCCTCCCGCTAACAACAAACCCAAAAAATCTGCTCTTTACTCTCTCTCTCTCTCTCTCTGTCTCTCTCTTTCTCTCTTCTTTGATAGGCCCGACCACAAAATAATAAATGCTAACAGTAAACCCAAAAAGTCTGTATGGACCTCCAAAAGAGCACCGCGCAAACGGGCCAAGTGGAAGCGACATATTGGACATTACATACGATTAACCATGGAGGATAGTGATTCTTGCCTACGCACCTCGATGGGTAATAATATATATGGCCTAATCACAATCACGGGTTTCCCCCACCCAATACATCTGCTCGGGTGGAGTTTATTAGATGTATAATTTCGTTTCCCACGAGCGCAAGCTCCCGTGATTAATTACATCTCGAGCCTAGGGCCCGAGAAAACTCTCGATAAAGGATCCAATACTATTCTTCCCCAAAAATGGATTGGCACACAAAAGGGAGACTAGGAAGTTCCTACTCAAAAGGAAAGGAAGGGCTCAAATAGCTTAGTCAACATGCACGGTTCACATCCACACTCGGAGGGACTAAGGTAGTTGAGGAGTGAAAGAAAATCATGCACTCAAAACATACAGAGAGAGAGGATAGAAGTGGCTTCATCTACGCGACGCGGATAAGCAGGATTTATAGTCCCTGAAGAGAAAGGACATACTCACTATTTAGGCATACTACGAGACACCCGATGTAGTAGCCTTGAACCCTAAATCTAAGATGGGTTGAGTATTTTTTGACTTAGAGTATTACCAATTTTATTGATTAGTTATTAATATATTAAGGCACGAATCCTAGGAAAATGTGTCACTAAGTTTTTGTTTTGATGTCTCTATTCTATAAGGAGCATGCACCCTAAGTCTATGTTATCTAAGACTCGGTCCTTAATTTTTGTCATTAGGTGTCACTAAAGTTATAAGACGAAAAATATGTGTTTCTAACCCTTAGGACATTCGTACATGTGTCAACAGGTTTAGGGATCTAAAATAAAACAAGCAATCCTATTGTGAATGTCACTTGAGGTTGTTCATTTGCTGTTATGTATTATAGAGTTGGAATGATTCCTAGAAATTTCAGAGCTCCCACCTACAGAGTTAGCCCCATGTAAAAAGTAGATTAAATTCTGCATGTGTCTTTTCCAAATTAAATAAAGTGAATGTAAAAACTGCAACTGGATAGCTACTGTGTTGATAATTATGGCGTATGATTGATGAAATTTGCCGGCATGTTTTTTTGAGGGCAGGGTCAGGTTCATCATCATAGACATTCCATGATCTTGGATATAAAGCATGATTAGTAGATTTTTCCCCACTAAGGTTCCAATCCCAAGATTCAATACCAGGATTTCTACTCCCTCTAGGAATTTGTGCACTTCTTGGAGAAAATACAGTAGAATACCTCTTGCCACCAGTCGTGAAATGAAAGCGTCAACAAATTCATCACCATTAATAGAAGCTTCAATGCCGGGCTGATAAAAAATCCTGACAATGCCACTCCGCATAGGAGCATCGATATAATCCTCAAGAAGCCCATTCTTCTTCAAAATTCTGATGAATATTTTTTCAAAAGAATTGTTGTAAAATAAGAAGAATTGCTGTCTAATTCCTAGATCCTTAGCTCTTAGGCCCATCATATATTGTCTCTCCACCTTTTGAAATACCTCTTGGCGAAACGCCAAAGAATACTTGCTTGAATTTACACTTAAACTGTATATAAGCTTAAGATAATTTTTTGTCCCATTCTTCCAATGTAGTTAGTGAGAAGTCCAACTTCTCATTCCAAATTTTGCAGCTTCACCAAAACTTCCTCTCCTTCATCATTTCCCCTCTTTGGAAGTGGCTCCAAAGGTGGCATCTCCTCTTCGTCCACCAAAATTTCCACCTCCCGATCCTCCCTCATCGAACTCCTCCCGTCTATCTCCTTTCCTTTATATTCGATCAAGAGAATCCCATTTAGATCTTGGTTAGGTTTAGCAATCGGAACTGCCAGTGGAGTTTTGGATTGCATCTCCATGAGCTTCATTAACATTTCTTCCACCCTTCCCAATATATTTTCCATAGATCAAAACCTTCCTTCCATGGTTGATAACTTCTCCTGCACCTCGTATTTGATTTGCTCCATTTTACTTCCCAATGCCTCCACCTTCTTTGTTGCCAAATGTCTCAAAAAAGTGCTCTGATATCAATTTGATATGCCTTGGAAGTAAAAACAACAAATAAAAGAGAAGAACATCATAGGAAAACAAAGATAGAACTCATTTTCTAATTTCTCCTTCAATAATAAAGCAATATACAATTGATCTACTATTCGAGAGATAGATCAGCTCTCCCACAAACAGTAGGTCGCTAGGAACTCACAACAAATATTAGGAAAATAAACTCAGCATTATCCTCCCTAAACCATAGAAAAACTCTCCCTTAAATAGCCTTAGAACACAATAACTAATTAGCATAAACATAATTTAGGAAACCTTTCTAAATAAATAGAACATTCTAATCAATATAAACATAATTTAGGAAACCTTCATAAATAATTAAACACGATTTAGGAAATCTTTCTAAACAATTAAACATGGATTATGAAACCTTCCTAAACAATTAAATATATTTTAGGAAATTTTCCTAGATAATTAAACACTTCATAAATATCATAAGCACAATTAAGAAACTTTCCTAAATAGTTTCTCCCATGATTAGGAACATTCCTAAACAAGTTTTCTTAATTAGGAACTTTCCTAAACAACTCCGTTTTGATTAGGAACATTCCTAAACAGCTCCCCTTCCTGGTTGTGGGTCCCCCAGTGTATCACACTGCTTCTCCGCATTGCATCAACCTTGCAAAAAACATAATATAAACTATCATTAACAAAGTAAAGCAATCCACACCTTGTCACTACTCACATTTTAATCATGATATGGATTAAGGTGTTTTTCAAAATGTATGCTAGGAAAATAATCATAATTACACGGTCTTTTGTAAAAAAAATTGTAGTCTAGAAGATAAAGTGGTACTTTGATGCAACATTTAAATATCGTAGATGAGAAAAAATGGAATATAGATGAAAATATAATTTCTACTATTCTGAGTTGTTAAAATGAAGAAGTGCTTTAGGAGTTTTATGCGATGAGAGGAAACCATTGAGACTCAAAAGTAAATTTTTTAAAAATTTGATTTGTCTAGCTATGTTGTATGAATGTGTATTGGACTATCAAATGTTATTGATCGGCAAGTTGAGCATGACATAAATGAGATAACAAAATTATAAAAGATAGTTTGAGGAGTGATTCTATCAGTAGGGCCGTTGAAGTAATGTATATTAGAGATAATGTAGTTGACAATAGACTAATATGGTTTGAACATGGACAATGAATGCTAGAAAATGCATTGATAAGATTAGATTGATAAAATTATATGGAGTGTTATGAAGAAAAAAAATGCAATCAAGTTAATGTGGGTAGCAATTGTGCAAAATGCTTTATGTATATTAGATTGAATGCAACATTCAATCTAAATAATGAAGAATGAAGATTGAGTATTTACTTTAATTCAATGAATATCTATGACATTTTTCTATCTTATCTCTACTTGTAATACGATCCAATGATGAAGTACAATATCTTGTATGCTTGCATTGTAATTAAGTTCCATGAGACCCAACCGATTGAAATTGTAGGATGCTCCAGATTATGCACCTGGTTCGCAGAAGAAAGTGACTGGAGAAGTTATCAGGTGGAATAAGGTTTCTGGCCCCGAGAAAATGGATGCAGTGAAATACATCGAGTATTTGGAAGCAGAGATCGAGGAACTGAATGAGCAAGTCAAGAGGAGGTCTGCAAATGGAAATAATGAACTTTTGGAGTACCTTAAAACCCTTGAGCCTCAGAATTTGAAGGTACTAAGCCTACTACTCTACTGAACTGTGACATGAAAATTGTTTTCTCTGTAATCATGAATTTTCTAATTGCTTTCGAAGATACATGGCTTCATTATTTATCCTTTTTTTTATTTAAGGAATGTGCAAAGTTGATCTTTGCTTCTATGAGCTTTTATTGTAATACCGATAAAGTAGGCCTTCAACTAAAATCTGAATCACATGAAGTTGAGGGAGTGCAATTGTGCTCCCCAAATAAATTGGCGCATCCCCTTTTAGGCCTTTAAAAGAAAATTACTCATTGCTCTATTTAGTTTTACAATTTTTACAACCGCACCTCTTTTTGCTTTATTTTTTGTATTTAAAGAATCATTTCCACTTTTAATTTAAATTATGCTTGTAATATCAGCAATATTATGTGTTAGTTTCTTTTTTTAACTTAATAAGTCTTTTATTGTTGCAATAGCCCTTATGCTGCCTCAATAATTTAAAAATCCTAATTTACATACCAATACATACTAGAAGCGTTCATCATCCTCTTTTTGAATAAAAAAACTGTCTCTTTCCTTTCAAAAAGTTTGTATTCTTTCAAAAAGTTTGTATTCTAGTTAAGGCTTATAGCAAGTCTGCTGCAAAAGCATATGAGCATAGTCCTTGGTGTGCTTTCCTATTTGGTTTGGCAATACCAGTTACTCTAATCAAGCATCTAGTGTTGTAACTACTATAGGAGTCATTTTTCATTTATTTTTCATTACCCAAGCTAGGCACTATCTTATAGAGTTTTTTCCTACCTGCATAATGTTTTAACAATTTGTCAATGTATTTTTTTGCGCCTTCTTAAGCTGTGCTTCACTTCTTCTTGGAGATCATGTGATGGAATATTGCATTTTAATAAACGTTTGCTCTATGAAAGCATAGTCCCTAGGGTCCTTTCCATTTATGCAGTTTGTGCAGCAGTAGGCTATATGGTTAGCTGGACAATTCAAAATTTATTTAATATAAGAAGTACGTTGGATGCCTTGATCAATCTTCCTTGTGTCATATGAAATAGATGAACCTGTTATTCATATTTAATACTTCAGGGTCTTTTTTTGTTTTTGTAAAAGTGCATAGTTACTAGAGAAACAAATGTAGTTAGAAATAAGTAGATGCTTTTGAAATATACATTGAAGAGTAGAAAATGAATCAATGTAGATAAAATTAATTTTGAAGTTTTAAGAAAAAAAAATAAGGATGTTCAATATGATTTAAAAATAATAGGTTTAACTTATCAAGAATATTCACTAGGAATGAATGGAAAATTATGATTTATAAATCCGACCTTAAATAGTTAAATAAGTCTAATGATGATGATGGTGATGATGAAAAGTACATGATTTTTTATTAGTGGCCTTCGAGCATAATTGCATGCTAGAAAATTTTACTCCCCTTGCCTAAATTATCATTCCTTTTCTTATTAAAATCAAATGATTTTTTTAATGTCCTGTTGTCAGATGTTTAAGGGTCTTGGGTTACTTAATGCAGATCACAAACACTTTCAAATTCACAATTCGCAATCCTTTAGTTTAGAAATTCATTATGTTTGATGAAAAATTAAAAAAAAAATGAAATCTTGCCTACATGATAATTTAATAGTCATCCACGAGAAATAACACAAATTCAGAAGCATGGAAATCATAGAGTTGAAACTCACCAAGCTTTTAAAATCAAATCGTATCAAATTTGGCAAAATTAAATCTTACTGTAAGGCTAATTACTAGAAATTTTAGAATATGAAATAAAAAAAGAAGAAGAGATCATCAATATAAGAACTAGGATTTCGTCGAAATTTGGATATTATATCTCCTGAAAATATCTAATCTCTAATTGTACTAGGAGCAGCCTAGAAGGAATTCTAGCCACAAATTAATTCCCAATCAAAGTAGAAATCAAATTAGAATATTTTATAGAGGCATTAATCATATATCCTTTCAAAATGTATAATAAAAATTTTAAAATATAAATCAATTGCATCATCCCCAGCTAAAATAATAGGGCACGAAATCTCATACAAGAAACGAGGTTGAAAATAAAAAAATCACACTAACCAGTGAAATCAAAGGAAACATTATCATCATAAACTGTTGGAATCGAATTGCAAGGAATGAAAATATATAACATATGAAACTACTAGGAGTTGAAGTTGCCAAGACCTTGTTATGCATGAAATCTTAGGTTCTAAAGGGTTCACTAATAAAAAAACTGTTTTAAGATGTACATAGAAACACAAATTATCACAATTCATTGTTTATTCAACTTAGTTTTAAGTAAATGTTAGTCTTTTTTGGCGCAAAACTAAATACACATTTAATTTATTCCAAACAATTATATAATAGTCATCAAAATCTTAAATTCCAGCCGAAATATGAGATCCAATATCAAGTTCTATTATGTTTAAAATCAAGCCACAAAAGGGAAACAAATTTTTAACAAACTTAATCATAGCTTAATCTTGCATGCAAATCAAGCACGGAATAGTTTAGATGAAAAAACAATAATAGAAGTCACTAATTTGAAGATCCAGGTCTTATGTTGACACAATAAAAAACTTTTCTCTGAAAGTTATTGTCCTAAAATTCTAAGTCTCAATCTTAGCAATCTCCGATTCTAGCAAAAAATAACATTTTGATCCTAATTTCAGAAAAAATAGGAGCTCCTTTATTCCAGCTACCTTGCCATATATCAATAAACATGAACTTTTTGATATTAACTTGTAAGGTAACCCAATAGAAACTTTCGTTCACTTTAGTTGCAAGTCAATTCGCAGCATTGATTCACATTATTCATCTCATGGTCCAACACTGGGCATCAAACAAGTGGTCTTAAAGCCCATCATTAAAGCCTAATTAGCAGTCATACAACAACCTTAAATTCACCATCTACACGAATAAGGACCCATTAAATGACAATGCATTCCAATAAACTTTACACCTACTAAAATCAGAAAACACCAAGCTAGGAACAAATCAAGGTTTTGTGGCAGAACTAGAGAGAGAGACATTGCTGAACCAAGGTAGGGAATCCCATATAGCTGAATAAAAACTAGCTTACTGTTTAGGTAGTAAATTGAAATTGGCCAGAGTAATTAAAGAATAGAGAGAACATTTTTTATAAATGATGATAAAAAAAAATAGAGAGAACATTTTGCTCTTATAGCACCATCATCATAGTCATTCAACACCAAAACTAAATAAAAAATATTATTAGCAATTAAAAGCTCTAAATAATGCACTTGCACATGATGAGCGTAGATTTTATGAATTGCATCATTAAATTTGGTGTAGGATGTTTTTCGGATCTATAATTTACTTTCTGAATCAAATCCAGTGGCACTTGTCTATCGGTTTCATTATGTTTTCTGCTTTGTATAGACAGATATTTCATCTCGTGTACTAACCAATAATTTTGGTTTATGTCATCCATGTCTTCCACATACATTGTTCATTGTTTGAGATAGAATTGTCCATAACATGCCGCATCTTTAATTTTTTGGCATAGGAACTCACAAGTAGTGCTGGCGAAGACGTAGTTTTTGCTATGAATACCTTCATAAAGCGCCTGTTGGCTGTTTCAGATCCTGCAAAAATGAAGGTATGTCTTGAGCACGTGATGAATAGCTTCCTTTTATGCTCTTGATCTCCCTTTTATAATTTATGATATAAGTGGTTTAAATAATTTGGGTTGATTAATTTAATTACACAATTAATTAAATTAATTAACTGACTGGCTTTATTATCCTTATCCTCTTTCTTTCATTTCTTGCTAGTGGGGGCTGTTCTCTCTTTTCCGGTTTTCCCTATATAAGATTTTTTCGGGTGCCTTGAAGGAACAATTATTAGGTCCTCTGACCGGATGTTGCTATAGGTTCGGCCACAAATGTTTTAACGCCACGTAGCAGCCCAAACCCGTGGTTTAAATAATTGTGTATATCCGGTCAGAGGACCTAAATACTGTATAACGTTCTTCGGGCTGCTACGTGGCGTTAAAATATTGGTGGCCGAACCTATAGCAACATCCGGTCAGAGGACCCTAATAATTGTTCCTTGAAGATGGAGTGAACAGCTGTGAGAGAATTCATTCTTTCTCTCTGTTTTCGGTTTTGAGAGTGGACAGCCAAAGAGGGTTAGGGTTTGATCTTTTGCTTCTTAGGTGAGGAGGAAGAAGAGAGGGTTAGAGAAATCTAGAGGATTTCTTGTGTGTGTTGAAGAGGGTGTTTCTCTCTTGTCTCTCTTGCTATTCTTTCTTCTCTGAGAAAGACAATCGTAAGGGGTTGTCGGTTGGAAGCTGAAATTCAGACCGTGAGTTGTCGGTTGGAAGCTGAAATTCAGACCGTGAGGCTTAATCCTTTTGCAATGCTTGTTTATTTGCTTACATGCAGGTAATATCTTTCCTATTTTCATAAACAAGAAATATTACATTGAAGCATTGTTTCGGTTTGGGGATTTTGTTGTTCTCTGACATATCTGGTTCCTGCTATTCTTCTTAAGCTTCTTGTTTACTGTCAAAGATTTGATAAAGGATTGAGGTGGAGGAATTTTTACTATTATAGCACAGATCTGTTAGATAGCATCTTCTGTTTTTAGCAATTTTTTTCAGCATGTTGTTTGGTTGTTTTTTTTTTTTTTTTTTTTTTCTGATTATATAATTCTTGTATCCGATTTTCACTCATATTTGAATAAAGAAAGATGATTGAGGTTGCCCCGTGGATGTAGAGTTTGCAAGAACTCGAACCACGTAATTCTATTGTGTTCTTTGTTTCAGTTTTCCTAGATTTATTTTTCTGAAATTGTTTTTTTATCAGTGGTTCAGATTTCAATAGATATATTTGCCGATTGTGATTCTGAAATAATTTTGTAAGGTTCATATTGCAAATATATCATTAATCTAGATCAAGAATTTTAAAATTTTCTGTTGGGCGGTTGATTTGTATCATCCGTGATCAACAATTTAGCATTTATGTGGCTGGTTTCATATTATGTTTGCTATGATATGTTTTTAAATGATATTGGAACTCATCAATACTTAGTTATGAACGTTCCTTTCATGCTCATTTTATAATTTAGCATTTATGTGGCTGGTTGTGTTAGGATCTTGGAGGAGATCTCGAGAGACATTCTTGCAAGAGATAGAGAGGGAGAGAGAGAGGGAGAGACAATATTGAGGAGGAAAATACCTCAAGCTTCATTAATTTTCCCCAACCAATATATCATACAAGGCTTCTATTTATAGAAGGTTAACAATGGTGTGGTAGCATGCATGAACAAAATAACCTAAAACTGAAACAATACTTAACAATCTCCACCTTGATTTAGTTTTACAAAAAACAAAGAACCACTAGTAACAAGAATCCGAACTTGTTGCAATCCAACCGATCGCCTTGGACACACGTGCGTGCTCCTACCTGCGACTTCGCACGATCCACCCGTCCAATCCCAAATTCGCGACAATCTTTCATCCTCGAGGTTCTTGATGCTTCAACATGCTCCTATAATTCTCCACCTCGATCGAAACTCCACCTGAATATGATTCTCTACCTTCTCCCTCATTGAACAGACTAAGAAATATTCAAGATCTTCTTGCACAGTTCCCTAGATATCCACCACTTGATGCTCAACCACTATGCCGTAAGAGGAGAAGTGCTTCTTGAACTCATCTTCTCTCAAAATAGTGGGTATTCCTTCCCCCAAAGATTTTATTGCTCTTAGGACCTCCTTTTGGTGGCATATCCTTCACACCGCAGCAAAGCCAAAGAATACATCTTAATCCAAAATCATGTGAATGCAATCCATGCAAGAAACCGAACCTGCACGTCTAACTCTACACGATCCCTCCCAGTTCTTCTCACGCAAACTGAGCCACAGTACCAGCCCGGCTTGCCTAGCTTTGCCCCGTTCCGCCTGAAGACCTGAAGCCCATCAACTCTGCTTTGACTTCCACCTCGTTCGATCAAACCTCTTCTACTCATCTTTGATTAAGCTAAGCTTACCTGAAAAATGTTAACAACTAACATTAAGCTAAAGCTCATTAAGTAATACACAATTCTAAACTACAGTAAACAAGGCAATCGTGTAATATGCTGGATGTCAATTTCATATGAACATAACATAAAATGATTTCATACTAACATGGCATTAAACATATCATATCATAAACCATATCTTTCATTTTCCTTTCCATATTCATATCAATATATTTAACTTTCACTTTTGTATATAATACAACCGTCACAAGAGTCACCGTCTGTACCATAAAGGTACTCCTTTACCATTTTCCTTTTCCATATCCTTTACTATTTTATCGTGCACGAGTACAGCATCCCCAGCTAGTACCATAAGGGGGTGAACTCCATCCTTTCAACATACACATACAAGCATTCAAATAGCATTCATATCATATCATATCTTTTCATCTCATAAATTACATAATATTTATCATATAATGTCATAAAATATAGTATAAACTTTGCATGATCAATCATTTGAACAGAATAGTAAAATCATGATCTAAAATTAATCATAAAGATTGCATGAACATGTTGGAACTTTCAAAACAAAGAACTGGAGAGAAACAAAAATAAAACTGTAATAAAGAATCATGTATACTTACCGAAGTTTGGAATCTGATTTCTTGCTAGTCCTTCTTCCCTCGATGTCACCACGATTAAACACCTATAAGTATTAATTTCTGATTCTTAAAATCTAAAAAAAAAAATAATTTAAAACAAAATCTTTTCTTTCTAAACTATTATAGGTTATCTCTTTCCTTCACTCTCTCTTTCTCTCTCATTTTCTTAATTATAAACATATGAATTTAATTTGCTGAATCATTTATCAAAATTTCCCTTACCCAACATTAACCTTAATTCCTAATCATTAATATAAAGAAATCATTAACATAAATAAACATTAATTCTTAATTCCTTCTTGTCAAATGACATGAATATCATTAACATAAATAAATGTCATTAACATAAATCTTTAATCTATTATTAACCTAATCTTTAATTGGCATTAAGTTAATTATTTTCGGATTTATTAATATTAAAAATTAGGAAAATATCATTTTGGAAGAAAAATTCAATTTATACCCTTAGAAACCCTCTTAAGACCCTTAGAAACCATAATTGTAAAATCACTTTCAAAAAGTTCAATTTTAGTGAAAAACACTAATTTTTAAATATCCAAAAATTCCTCAAATTTCATTGATTTTATCGTTAAAATACTCTTCTAAACGTTCCCTATTAATTTCTTAAAGAAATTTTGAAAGAAAAACATTTTCTAACAAAAACCCTAAAATTTTCTTTTCAAAAATACTAGAGATTGAGGGGGATTCATTCCAAAATAATCATACCTGAGTAATCCTCTCCTCGTCCCCTTCGATTTGACCTAAAACTTTCGCCGGAAGATCGCCGCCGGAGAGCCCTCGCCGAACCCGTCGTTCGCCTCTTGTCCGCTCGGTTTCGGTCTTTCACGCGGAAATGAGTGAATGAGGGAGAGAGAGGGTTCGGTTGGCTATAATAGGAAGAAAAGGGTTTTGCTAAAGACCAATTTGCCCTTACTTAAGTAATTTCGTTATATTAAACGGTTAGGGGTAAAAAGGGTATTGTGAAACTTCGTTCTATTTTAATTCCTAAAATAGATGAAATTAGGTATAAGTGTTATATACCAAAACGATCAGAATTTTGCGTAGGATTTTCTAAAATTAATTTCCTTACAATCTGATAACATTGAAAATTCCACTTAAATCTCGTCGTGGCGCATTGAAAAGCATGCAAGGTCTAAAAATGACATTTTTTCGGGTTTTCACAGGAGAGGGAAGAAGAGCCGTGAGCCAAAAAATGCTTCAAAACTTTATTTCCTTGGCTACCTTTTACAACCTAAAAACCTCATATATATAGGCTCAAAAGCCATACAAAGAGCAACACCTACAGCTATACAAATAGCTACACAAAAGCAAACCTAAATCTAGGACTAATACCTAACAGGTTGCATATTATGTTTGCTATGATATGTTTTTAAAACATATTGAAACTCATAAATACTTGGTTATTTCTATAGTTTTGAAGAATGTTCCTTTCATGCTCTTGATCGCCCTTTTATCATTTAGCATTTATGTGGCTGGTTGCATATTATGTTTGCTGTGATACTTTTTTAAAACATATTGGAACTCATCAATACTTAGTTTTTTCTATAGTTTTGAAGAACTCATCAATACTGAGTTTAACTTTATTAATATAATTCTTGTAGTTTTGCATTTTGCAATTCACGAATAATTACAGAAAAAAGTTTTCATAAAAGTATATTTGGATTTATCACCATTGAAGTTTTTGAATGGTATTTTTTAATTAGATTTAAATGAGAATTTGACTCTTAATAGAATACAAAGGAGAAAAAAGATTCATATAATCGACCCCACATAGTGAGATAAAACTTAATGTTTTTATTGTTGTGAAGTTTTTGAATTACATCAACATATAGGAGATATTTTTTTAAATGCACCGCATATTGAATGGATGATATTGCTAGCTGAATTCTATTCTTGCTTTTATAGTAACTTAATATTTCAGTCGTATGCATTTAATCTATAGGATAATGATGAGATTGTAGTCCGATCATTTCTGTCTGTGCTGCAGTCTGTTATTGTATCCATTTTTTTTTTCTCCTTTTTTTTTTGGATAGTTGTAGCGATAGTAATTCATGGAAGTTAAATTTGTTGGCCCTTATAACCTGATAGGAAGTGGTATTGAGTTATCGTTGTTAACATGTATTTGTTTTGCTCTTATGGCTTGTCTTATTCATGTATCTCATGTACTTCATTAGTTATGGTTGAAAGTCCTGATCTAACCTTAAGAGGCATGATTGTTCTCTCTTTACCAGACAGCAGTCACCGAGACTAGTGCACCTGAACTAGCAAATTTACTCTATTGGTTGATGGTGGTTGGTTACAGCATTCGCAATATTGAAGTGAGATTTGACATGGAAAAGGTGCTTGGTGCTCCTCCCAAGCTCGCTGAACTACCACCTGGTGAAAACATTTAGAGCCGTAGAACTTCAGCAAGAATGGGTTTTCAAATACAGAAATTAAAACGGTTAGGTTACTCTCCATGCTAATATGCTGTCCAACTTTTACAACTTTAGGGTATTCATGTACTGATTTGATACATGCATATTCTTAATAGTCCATATACTTCAGATTTTCTAGGCATGTACAAGGCCTTGTTTCAGAGGGTCAATCCATATAGCCTTGAATAATCTGTTATTCCATTTCCTAGAATCTTATCTTTGTCGTTCTGTCTCTTTTTATATTCTAATGGATATGGGCTAGGGGCAGAGATCACTGGCTAGGGATGCCAAAAACTGACTCAATCCATTTACTGGAAAAAAAAGAGATTAATGCTTCTCTAATCACTGTATTGATTTAGCATTATTGGTTGACTAATTTAGTGGACTATATTTTAATAATACTTCATTTAGTATAATAAAAGCCACAATAATATCTATTTACTTTCTAACTAGATTTACTTCAAATATATATAGTTATTTCACTATGTATGATCCTATGTAATGAGATAAAGATTTGTTGTTGTTGTTATTGTATATGATAATCTTTGTTGTTTCGGTAGACATCTTTGTGAGTGTCCTCAACAGAATAACGTAAAGAAAGCATATTAAACTTTTCTCTAGATTTATTTGATCTCAATGTCGACTTACAAGGTGGTTTATTCTCGAGGTGCAAAATGTTAGCAATATATAGATATGTATAACATAGTTTTTATTGGGTTTACCTTGCTTGTGAGTAGTGTTTGATGTTTTTGCTATATCAAGAAGGATGTTGGCTACTCCATTAAAAGAATAGCTTCTTCATCATTAGGAGAGTGGAATCCCAAGCAATGGAGAAATTGTTATGTGCGTAGTCTTAACGTAGAGGATATTCTGGATTACTGTGTTTGCTATGCGTAAGCTCTGCATACGCTATGTGTATATACTACATATTTGTAAATACGCAGTAAATAAGCAGCAAATAATTAGTTGTGAATTTGCTGCTTATTTGTTGCGTATCTACAAATACGCAGTGTAAGCAGAGCGTACGCAGTGCGTTCAGTAATACGAAAGATCCTCTACGTTTGGACTCCGCACAGAATAATTTCTCCAAGCAATGATATGTTAAAGCATGGATGTACATCGATTGGATGCTGAACCATCTAAAACTAATAGCTATTTTCTTTCTAGTTTGCTTTGCTTGAGTGCACATACGGTTATATGATGATTTTTATTGTATGGCTACACATACCCTCTCTATGTAATTATCATTTTATGTGGTTGATGCTATTGATCATGAATTGCTTGAGTTGATTCTAAGCATTGTGCTTCAATGATTTACTCACTCCCCTTTACTTTTTGCCAACAACTTATCACCTACGCTTGTATTTGTGTGATTAAATTATTGATAGATTTTTTGTTATACAGATAATTTGAAAAGAGTTTTGAAAGAAATTTTATGTGTTAAATTCACATTCAATTCATGGTTCTCTTAAATATGTTATTCTTTTAGCTAAAGAAAAGTGGAAAATTCTTCAATTTCCAATATCGTTATTGTTCTTCTTTGCCCTACAAATTTTATGGACTCTTCTTCACACAATTATTTGTTTTTTTTTTTTAATTTTTATTCTTTATTTATTTTCTTGGCACAAGTATAAGCATCAGAAGAGCCCTACTGATTTCCCTTCTTTTGTTGAGCTTACAAAAAATGGATTTTTTGCTTTGATTGTCTCTTAATGGTTAGTCTAAGATTTCGTATGAGATAACTTTATTACTGTTGTTTAAAATAGCTTTTTACTAATTTTTTTTTTCAAAAATTTTTTGAAATAAAAATTTGTTTTATAAAGCAGTGCGAAATTTGTCCCAAATAAAGCCTAAGTGTGCAGTATCAGTTGGATCAGCTGTTTTTTTTTACACATTAAGGCTTCGTTTGGGACGGCTTTTTTATTGCTTTCTAAAACGGAGTTTTAGTACAATTTTTTTTTTAATTTTTGTACTAAAATTTCGTCTTAGAAAGCAATAAAAAAGCTGTCCCAAACGAAGCCTAAATTTGATTGTGATAAGCATATTCATTTGGATTTAACGCTTTTTTTTACACACTAAGGCTTGGTTTGGGACGGATTTTTTATAGCTTTCTAAAACAGAGTTTTAATACAATTTTTTTTATTTTTGTACTAAAACTCCGTTTTAAAAAGCAATAAAAAAATCGTCCCAAAAGAAGCTTAAATTTGATTGTGATAAGCATATTCATTTGGATTTAACATTATTTAAAGTTTCTTCAAATATAATTTTATGATTTTTTTATATAGTTTGATCAGAGATTGAGTTAATTAAAATGCTTTGAATTGATGGTTTTGATTTTATGAACATGATTGTTATTTTTTATAAGTAGAGGTATACGTTAAATACAGATAAAATTAATGATGCTTAGAGGCAATTGATAATTTTAATTGGTGAAATAATGATTAAAAATATTTTTTTATATGGTCTTATATAGATCATTTGATTATCTTTGCTTTTCACATCATTTAGAAGTTTTGATGCAAAAGTATGATTTAGAAGAATGGAATGTCATAAATTAAGGCAAAAGAGAAGCTAATCAAATAACAAAAATTTTTATGTTTTATGCAGCTCATCTTGATTTGTTTATTATAAGTTTTGATTATCAACCAAGATGTTTTGAATTCGAGTCTCGTATATGCGGTGTGTGTGTGAATTTGTCTTAATTGGCCTAAATGTTTCCCTCTTAATAAATTATATATATATATATAGAGATATCTTTCTTATTGATTTTTATAAAAAAAAAAATGTAATTCAAAAAAAATTTGTACTTAAAAATTATTTATAAATAATAAAAAATCATCCCAAATTAAAACTCGAAACCCTTATATATCTTAACTTTCATCTCTTTCAAATAACATCATCAACACATGATGCAAATCCATTGTAGGAGTAGATTAAATTATTATGAAAATTATAAATCAATGAAAAAAATATGTATGTTTTTATAATTGTGAAATTTATAATACTAATTTCTCAGATTATTTTCTAATGATAGTGCTATACTTTACCATTAAACAAAAATAGAAGAAAATACAGTGAAATTTATAAAATAATTTAATAAAATAATTCAAAAATACTGATCAATCCACAAGTGAGTCTGCATAAGTACTTTCTTGAAAGCACATTAATTAAACTCCTGACTTAACAATAAAATAAGTACAGATTGCTATGAACTTCGAAATGGAAATGCACACTTTTTACAGGAATTGAGATTTTTCATTGCACAGTTTGCAAATAAATCGTTATGTTACAGAAAATTAATTAAATACAGTTGGATTAGAAAAACCTACACAGAAATCAAGGAGGAGAAAGGGAAACCAGAAACAGTACATTGTATTAGAAAAGAAAAAAAACCTTAAATTGGTTCTTCCTATGTTGTTTTCATCACTTCCAAAAGCTCAAGATTCAGTTCAAATGTCGCCTCTGGCTGCATGATAAGAGACCAATTAGGCAATGAGGCATCACAAAATGTCTTAAGAATCTCAAATATGCTCCGTTTTGTTAGTAAAAAATGAAATTCTTGTATAAAAAAAAGGAATCAGGTACAAGCTTAGTAATGACTTGACATTTTTAAATGAAAGAAGTTAAGTGAGAGCAGTCTTTTACCGGGATTTCATTTATTCCCTTTGCACCATAGCCAAGTCCGGGAGGAACAATAACAGTTCTCTACACATAAATACGGAAAATCAGATATGAAAATTTAGGACTTTAAAAGCCAAGCCAAACATGAAAATTTAGGACTTTAAAAGCCAAGCCAAACAGTTGGGATAAATCTGAAAAAGATAAGGATGATGGGATGATCAATGATAAATATGATTTTTTTTAACTCAGTTGACTTTGGTCTATAAGTTGAGAGCTTTAACTACTAATTAAGAAGCTTTGAATTCGAGTCTTGCGTATATAATGTGTGTGAGTTTGACTTCATTGGCATAAATATCCTCCCAAAAAAAGTATGATTTTTTTTCGCATCTAATTGCTGAAAGATTTTATTGATATTTAGATGTTATCAAAGCAGGAGTTAAATGTCATTTACTACATTTTTATATACATATAACACCAAATCAAACCGCAAACAAAATCGATTTGTAGGCTTATTATGGCCTTAATAGTTATTTCACCCTGGCTTTGCATGAGGATGTTTTACCCATTGTTCTATGCCCACAGTATCGAAGATAATCTATAATAATTGATAAGCAAGAAAATGGAGAAAAAAACATACCTTACCCCCAACTCTCATTCCTTCAGTTATTGTATACATAGCTGGTGGAGGTTTCGGTGCGGCCTGAGCTGAATAAAGCCCATTGGCATTATCAATAAATTCACGCTTTCTTTCTTTTCCTGGTGGAGAGCCGACCTTAAATTCATAAGGCTGGTAAGAAAAAAATTAGTATTGGTTTACTAAAACCAAGTTAACAGTCTAAAATGAAGGTGCAGAGAAAGAGAAAAAAATATATGAGCAAGCCAACAGCAGAATAGGAAGAAGATTAAATTTGAATAAGAGCATAAACTTCATCCATCAGTCACTTATATTCTCCAATCTTTTTGTTTAGTGAAGATTATTTTGTATTTACCAATTCACCAGTTCCAATTACTTATAAGCTAAGGTTTCAGATAAATTACAATAGAAATAACATTTAAATTTTAAGATAAAAAGAGGCACAAAATTTGCAATTAGTAACAACTGAAAAGAAGGTTTCTTTTTATCTTCAGATTCTTTTATCTAGTTAACTTTGATGCCTCTTTCCTCAGAACAGGGAAAACACTAAATGGTGAACATGCAAGCATGTAATCACTCAGCAAAGTGACAATGCTGATTTTTTTCATAATCATGTTTTCCACGCACTCGATAAGTGTATAGGGGATATGGGGAGGGATTATTGTACACAGCCTTATTCCTATATTTACAAAGAATTTGTTTTCATAACTCTGGATTTGGGACCTCTAGAATACACCGAAGGCAACTTTAACTACTGCTCCAACCCTGCTTTCTACCCTTAGGAATATTAATTAATCCCTAGCGTTGATTCTAGTCATTAGAATGTTTTCAAACATTTTGTCATGACAACAGATATCGCTTAGAACTTTGAAGCAAGTCTATCGTTAGAATAAGCTTCTTCCAGGGAGTTCGGAAATGGTGGCAGAAAAGTCCAAGTACAAATGTAATTATCAAGAAGAAAATTACCTTAAAATGAAACACTATTCATAGAATTGTATGAAAAAAAACTCAAAACAATGAAGGCTGGTTTAACATACCATTTTAATCAGGAAACTGTATTTTCAGACAGGTTTCCTGATAGTCAAAATATGCGGTTCACCCAATTTTTTAAGATGGCTTTCATGTTTCTGCTTAATTAAATTGTTGTTGCTTCATATACTTGGCTCGTTTGATTTATGATACCATCTTAAATGCTGGGGAATAATTATTACGGACTGATCATCTAAGCTAAATCAGAATAAGAGTAAGGTGCTTATAGTCATCTTGGTAAATGATACCAAAGAAGTTTTGCAAAGTTAACCTGTGCAATAATACGGTTTCCAGCTAGCAGTTTAGATTCTCGACTGGACAAAGCTGTCACCCCACGGTAGATACAGTCAAAATGCACCTGTAATGAAACTGTTCATAGAATTCAACTGGATCTAACAAGTATCAAAGAAACGAGAAATTATTCTGTGCCGGACATCGGACGGAGAGAATTGTCTGAATTTGCTGCACTTTTGCTACCATTTTGCTGGGCTTTTGCAAAAGAGCAATAAAAGGGCAGCAAATATTCAATTATGAATGCATTTTTACTGCCCTTTTGATGCCCTTTTGCAAAAGCGCAACAAATATTCAATTAAATATTAAATATTTGCTGCCCTTTTATTGTCTTTTTGCAAAAACACAACAAAAGGGCAGTAAAAACACAACAAATCCAGACGGTTCTCTCCGTCTAGTGTCCGCACAGAATAATTAGTCCAAAGAAACACACTGTTGCACGATGCATGATGCACAAAGAGAATTTCAAGTTCTTTGTTTTTAATTAACCTTGACCACAGCACCCCTTTCAGCTATCGGGCCATTCCCTTCAACAACATCGTAGTACTTTAGTCCTTCAGCTGATTCAGAATAAGATCAGAAAACTGAAGAACAGTAATTCATCATACTGTAGAAAGAGTGGAACCAAAATCTCAAAAACTAAAACATAAATAAAAGCTTAAGATTATCCCTACAATAATTAAACTTCGCACTAACCTGAGTAAAATAATTAAAATGGCCAGCTTTAATTATTATGACAGTGGTAACTTGATGAAGTCAGCAAATACCACTTCTGCACGAGTATAATCGAGCCAACAAGGCTCTGTACCACATTATCAGAGCGGTTGATGGAGAAGGGGGTAGCACCATTGGTTGTTCATGTATCTCTATTAGTTCATCAATCACCACGACAAACATTAAGCTAGTTAGTTTGTTACCCATATGGATTCAGGATTTAATCAGATAGAACATTGACCAAGCTATCTTAACTATGAAGTCGGATGGCCTAAGACAAAAAGGGTAAAAAGTTGGATGGCCCAAGGCAAATGGTCATGCTTATCCCATTGAGTATGAGTATGTCCACTCTCCCTCAGGTTTCATTCCCTTTAGATTTAAGCAGTTTGATGGCCTAAAGAGCTTCATGCAACATTTGGCTCAATATGCTACAATATTAGGGAAAGCGATGCCCTTCTTTTCAAACTATTCACTAGTAGCTTGCCAGAGGTAGCATTAGAGTGGCATGCTGACATTCTGAATGATTTGAAGATGATTATAGAACTAGAGAATTTATTCATTGAAGAAAAAATTTAAGTGCATTGTATTATCTTCATCTTCTCGTACTTAATTTTCTATAATGCATGATTCTATTAATGGAAAAATCTTTGAACTTTATTCGTAAGGTTTAGGGTATCGGTCCTAAGAAGAAGAGCCAATCTTTATATTCCCTAAGTGGACAAGTTTAAAGAAGCACCAAATCCATATCCTTCTACCAACCCTGGCAAATGATTTAGTTTTGTATGCATATAAGGTCTCTAGGTCTCTTAAAACCACTTTAAATATAAGCAAAGTTTATGTGTTTTCAGTTAGTCAAGGGTTCAATGAGCATCATTTGTGGGTGGGAGACGTTAAATTTAATTTTGGGTTGGGCCACTGCCAGCCCAGAATTGCCTGTGGTTGGGACAGCAAAGAAAACTAGCAGCTCGTCCATAAGATTAAGTGGTTGCCAACAATTCCACTGAATGGAGACACTAGATCCATCAAATAAGAATTCAAAGTGTGTTCTTGGCGTCCTATGATATGTTAAGCCACAAGATAATACAAATTTAGTCTCATATTAGATAGTTTAAAAATATATTGGGTGTAGAAATATAAGTAATTGACCCTTATGTATAGGTTTAAGATTTTAACTTGAAAACAAATTTAACCATGAGTGCATATGGCCAAATTGCAGTCTCTCTCTAGTTCACGATCTCTAATGGGATTTGATCTGGTGAATTAAAGAGCACAAATTTCTAATGTAATTCACATAGCCACGAACACAGCATCAGTTAAAAAAAAATCACTTAAGCATCCATAATGGTACAACCCTTTGTCAGCTTTCATTTTATTTATTACAGGCTTTTTCCATTTCAAGTCTTCAATCCAACTTCTACTTGAACCATGCAATGCTTCAATTGTAGAGAGAGAAAGACTAATGGGGTAAAATATTGAAAGATAGAGGGAGGAATGACTTTCCATTGTGGACAGAACGATGAAAAACTGATTGTTTTAGTGGCTTAACAGAGCAACAAGTTCGCCAAAGAGAAAACTTGCTCTAATTTTTGTAATTCTTCATTTTAAAATTATTTATTAATCTAGAGAAACCACCACCATCTTTTTCTGGACACATGAGTTTTCCCCTTTGTTCCTCTCTCCCGACTCGCAACTCACGACCTCGAGCACGTATTTCGTTTTCCCTTTCGCTCCTATCGTGCACCCAAACGAAGATAGTCATGGCAGAAGTTTATGTCTTCTAAGTTCCAAGGGCCATATTATTTGCATTATTAATTTTGATCTTACGGCTCTTCTTGGTTTCGGTAATGAGACGGCAAGCGGAACTATTTTAATGTATTATAACCTTCCAAATGAGACAACAAGTAGGACTATTTTAATTTAGGCCTTCCCTGAATAAAATTTCTGGCTCGCCACTGTTTGAAATTATATTAATGTTGGCCCTCACCCACAGTTTTAAATTTTTTGGATAAAATGAGTTTGATTATTTAGTCCAAATTCAATCTCACTTTAGTTCTTACCCTAACAAGGAGAATTTTCTCAAGAAGGAACAATGTACATGAGAGTCAGTTCTTTCCACAAGTGTGAGTGCAATCTGTGATGAACACGAACGCACTAGCTCGATGGTAAAGTATAAAAATTCAATTGAAGCGTCCCCAAACTAGATTTGAGTTTCTTTCTCACCATATGTGTAGTCAGATATCAGCAAAGAACAGCAAAGTACATGTTAGTGCAATAAGCCTATCGACTGTGTGCTCTGGCCCATTTCTCCTTCTAAAGCTCATTCAAGAATAACGATCTCTAATGGGATTTGATCTGGTGAATTAAAGAGCACAAATTTCTAATGTAATTCACATAGCCACGAACACAACATCAGTTGAAAAAAAATCTCCGTCCTAATCCACCTGTGAGCCAAAAGCTTTATCCCCATTCATTCTCTAAATTTAACAGGACAAGCATGTCTTACTCTACTTGTAACGCGAATGTTCCTCTCCAATATACCGCGGCAAACTACGCATTAAACCTAAAAACATCAATTCAGCCAATAATAAAGCTGTACCAAAACCAAAATAAGGAAACTTACAGGTTGTATTGTAGTCCTCGATGGCAATGGATTTCCTGACCCTCCTCTCTCGAGCGTACGAGGCCGGGGAGAACGCTGCTAGGTTTATTGGTGCGGTGCAGATCAGCAGAGCATCTCTTCTCGAGAGAGGCGCCATGAAAAACGTTGACGCCGAGGGCATTGATGCAGGGTGAGGAGAGCGATGGACTTCTTCCAAGAAAACGATTCTGTGGAAGGCGCAAGCAGAAGACATTGATAGAGCTTACGGGTGTCGGATATGATATTTCGGATACAGGGAGATAAAAGGACCGGCGGGAGAAGCAGACGACGCTCAGGCGGGGGAGTGGCTTGATCAAGCTAAGCTTCTCGAGCTCGTGCTAGACTCTAATTTATTATGTTTGAGCTTAGCTTGGTAAAACAATTATAGGTTCGAGCTCATTTGAAGAGCTTTTTAGTTTTTAATTAAAATTTCAGTTTTTAATATATAATTAATTTAAAAAAGTTAAAAAATATTATATAATATTATTGCATGCTAAAATATACGCGATGATAGATTTAGAAAATTTTAGTCTCAGCGTTGTACGGATACTAGCACACAAACATAAGAGAAATAGAAACATCAGGATTTTTACGTGGAAACCCGTGAGAGGAAAAAAATCACGGGTCCACGTCCAGTTGAAAAAGCTCCACTAATGTTTGCTTGAGATACAAAAAGCTAACTCGTCCGTAAAAGTTAGGACGATCATATTACAATTAATCTCTTCTAAATTGAAATTCAATTACAATGTCGGGCAGAGTTTCGACGTCACATGGAGATCGATTAGAATTCCGGCGTCTCGTGCAAGTCGGACAGAATTCTGGCGTCGTTCGGGCATAATTATGGCGTCGTTCGGATAGAATTATGGCGTCATTCGCGAAAAATTCCTGCGTCGTTCGAAAATCGGGTAGAATTCCGACATTGTTCAGACAGAATTCCAACGGCAGTGGTCGAGGAGTTTCTTCCCTCCTAATATTCTTCTCTTCTCTTTTTCGTCTTGCTTGGGTCCCCTCTCAAGAGAAATGAGGGGTCTATTTATAGATATTATGGAATAGCATGACCTGTAAAAAGGTGAGAGATCATGGGTAAATGGGGAGTGGTTGGATGGACGCCGATATTGAATCTCTTGATCGTGTACCATTTGTCAGACATTTGAAGGTCTTAATGATTTCGGAATTCAACTATCTTGGGCTCGATGATTTGTCTCGTCGATCCGCTCGATTCGACTATAAGCACGTCATGTTTCAAAACTATTTGGTAACTCAAATTGTGGTTCGAACTTTATAATAGCCCTACGGGACCTTGATTTGGACTCATTTGGGCTCATATTGAGTCAAATTTGGTGTCAATGGGTTCGTATTTCTGAGACGCTCAGTTTGACTGTAAGTTTGCTGAAATCGGAGTTCAGGTGATCCCGAATTTAATTTTTGAAGTTCTCAGCTTGATTTTGCCTTGAGAGTTGTGCCCAGTCAAGATAATTTTGTGATGATATACCAAATATTAATTTAAATTAATTTTTTAATATATTTTAAGTTAATCGAGTGGTTCAATAAGCTTACAAGTCGAGTCATTTGAGTCTAGGCTCGAGCTCGAGTATAGACTTAAGCTTGACTCGTGAGCTGGTGGGCTCATGAACCCACTCGACTCACTTACACCCCTACGATAAGTCATGTATTTATAAACTTAGAAGATTAAATTCAGGCGAGCAATTCTTAAGATGTTTTTCTTCTAAAAATGTGAAATTTAAATAGTTAGAAAATCTATCAAAAAATGACTTTTGGTTGTCGGTGCTCATTGACTCTTCTTCTTCCCATCATCTTCTCGATTTGGATTGAATGACAAGAGTAGGCCTTCAACTTGTGGTAAGAATTTACGGTGACAGTCTCTCCTTACTCAATTTCTTCAAAGGTTAATGATATTTATCGATTTATCTTTAGGGTTGAAAACATGCTTCATACTCTTATTTCGATGTTGCACTTTAGCTACATGCTAGTTATCATGTTAGAACCATATTCCAACCAGAACCAGGATTAAATCACCGTATAACAATCCTAACAATCATCAATCCATGTTTGAAATTTATTTGAGCATTTTTTAGAAATGATTGACATATTTGATGAAACTTCATAGCATCCTCAAATTGTGATTTAGAAATATTCCAACTAACTTTAATACATTATGGTAGGGGCGTCAATTTCGGGTGACGGGTCGGGTTCGTGTCGAATCCGAACTGACCCGGGTTCAAACAGGTCGACCCTAACCCGACTCAGGTAGATAATCGAGTCAGAAATCTGAACTCGGACCCGACTCGACGGGTTGCCAGGTTGACCCGACTCGACACGGGAAGGAGACCGGCGTCGCAGCACGGACACGTCACGGTCGAGAGCGGACGCCGACGGCGACGCGGACACGGGCTGGCTGGGGCGGCGGGTGCACAGGACGCGAGCCCCGACCCATTTTTCAAACAGGTCGGGTCCAACCCAGGTTTTCCGGGTCGAGTCCGGATCGGGTTTTCGTGTCATGTCAAATATTGACAGCCCTACATTATGGCATCATTTGAACTTCTTCAAATCTTATTCGAGCACTTACTCAAACCCATTCTTGACCTTTCATCAATCAATTATTTCAATGTCTTCAAAAAGTATTGAAGAAGGTTCGCATATTTTTTCTTGTTAAGTTAGAATAAGTTTGAACAAGGCTTTCATGCATTAAAGTTGGTTCATGCATCTTCAATCATTTGCGTACTTCTTTAGCGCTCTTAAAATACAATTCTCTATTGCACTCATTCATCAATTATTATTGAGGATTACAAATGACGATAATAATATTGAGTACTCAATTCTGAAGGACACGGCCTTTGGAATTCGAGAACTTGCTTTAACGATTGGGTTGAACATAATATCCAAGATACGAGTGGACAGTAGAATCATAGAGTGGTTTCAATAGTTGATTACTCTCATTAGCAATATGATAAATCATTTAATTTATTGAAAGTTTGCTTATATCATTTCAATGATCTATAGGCCTAGGCCTAGTTGTGTTGGGTGAATTATTTGGGCAATTGCTCATTACAAAAAAAAAAACCCTTTTCAAGTGGCCTAATGTAGCACTCATGCACAACATTGAAAAGGAGAAATTCATAAAGTTATAGGTTGATACATCATACATAACTCATATTTTTCAATGAACTGTACCCACTTCATCAAATTATATGCGAGATCTCGGTTGTTCCATGAAAATGTATGAATGTAACCCCTCTTACAATACACTCTTAGGCTTTGTTTGAGGTTGTTTTTATAATGCTTTTCAAAACAACTTTTTAGTTAATAAAATAATTGTACTAAAAAGTTGTTTTAGAAAGCAATAAAAAAACTGCCCCAAACGAAGCCTAATTCTTGTAAAAAATGCTGAATCATTATGTGAGTGCTTCCGAAAATTACTTCAAGTATTAAGGCTTCATTTGGAAAGACTTTTTTATTGTTTTCTAAGGCAGCTTTTTAGTGCAAATATTTCTTATCTAAAAAGCTACTTCATAAACCAATAAAAAAGCTATCACAAATGAAACTTAAGGCTTCGTTTGAGACGGCTTTCTTCTGTTTCTTAAAACAGCTTTTTAATAAAAAAATAAAAAATTTTATGCTAATAAGTTGCTTTAAAAATTAGTGAGAAAGCCGTCCTAAAAAAACCTAAGTCTATTACACCAAAGATAAAAACTTTTCACTTTTGAGGTTCTAAGGGCTATAGTAATGTAATTTATTTTAAATTTTAATATAATTTAACTTGCTTAACTTCTCCCAGCATAACAGTTTGATGATTGCTCCGACTTATTTGTATCGATGACTATGAAGAATATGTAATATAATACATTATATGCTCATTATGTTAAACAAAATATGTATGCTAAGAAAATCCACATTAAATAAATTTATATGATCATAATACCATAACATATGATGTATTAATTAGATTTACTATAATGTAATAGCTGTGAAATTTTATTAATTGCTTTCTTCTTTAAGAAGAAAATTATAACCCCTAAACAATTTTTTAAGATTATTTATCTCATGATAATTCTTTGTTTTTTCTTCTAAATTTGATTGAATCATAGAGCATATACAAGCTCGTATTAAAGCTTAATTAAAGAGATTTAGAGGGGGAAAAATAATTCACGCTTAGTATTTGTTCTATTTTAACATTATTTAAATTTGCATCAAATATAATTTTATGATTGTTGCGTCCTGGAATATTCGCGGCGGTAGAGAAATATTTAGTTTAACGTCTTAGCATATTACGAAGATCCAGTACACAAGCAGATAAGTGAGAGGGTGATTGACGTAATTAAAATGCTTTGAATTGATGGTTTTGATTTTATGAACATGGTTGTTATTTTGTATAAGTAGAGGTATAAGCTAAATACAAATAAAATTATTGATGTTTAGAGGCAATTGATAATTTTAATTGGTGAAATAATGATTAAAAATATTTTTTATATTGTCTTATATTAAATCATTTGATTATCTTTGCTTTTGACATGATTTAGAAGTTTTAGTGCCATGACCTGACTGGCTATGTTCATAATTGATGCAGTCAAGGGTATATCTATACTTTATATATATATATATAATATTATATATATATAATTTATATATTTATATACTATTATATATATATTATATTATAATATATATTATAATATATTATATTTATTATATATAAAATACTATATATATTTTAATTTTCACTTATATGTCTAACTCTCTTTTTCGTATGATTTTGTTTGGTCTCTTCATATGGTTGTTTTGTCTTCCCATAATAATTGTTTAATTTTCCCATGCGGCTGCTCGGTTTTCATGTTGTTTTCTTAGTTTCCTTGCTATTGGCTACTAGATATCTTCCCCTTGCTGATCCCTTTACCGTTTGCTTTAACATCTTCATGTATGGGCTGATTTGAAGGGATTTTAGTGATTATTTTGATGGCATATTTATGTGGGATAATAAATGATCTTCACACTTCCTGCTATAAATTAGGGCTAAATTTCTTTAACTTCTCCATGTATGGGCTGGTTTGAATGCTGAATTTGCTCCGATTTTCTCATAGCTTTCGAGCTATCTTCTTTTACATTCCTTCTTATATTTGTCTCAAATTTCTATACATTATTCTCTCCAAGATTCTTATTCCACCTCTTGTATCTTTCTTCTCAAAACTTTGATCAATCATAAGTTGTGTGGTTTCATTTTTATTTGAAGTTGTAAGGTATTGTTGTGTTTTTTTTATTTGAAATTGTAAGGTGTTGCTATATCATTTTCAATTAGAAGTTATAAGCATTGTTGTG